GGGGACTTCGCGCCTTCCAACCACTATTTGGTCCATAAAACCCATTCCGCACCGATGGAGCGAATGTATAAGGATCGAAACCATAGCCGGGTGCGTAAGTACGACCGAAACGCCCCTGATAATACTTAGGATACACTTGGAAAGCAGGCGCTCGAAACCGCGGTAGAGGTTCATAGAACCTATCGTTACCGGAAGGAGTTTCGTCTAGAATTTTTGTGGAGCTAGTACCATCGTCGGGTGAAGTGAATTCGTAATCCGTGGAGTCGTCAAATTTTATCTTCGAACTGTACTTATCTGTTGTCAAATCAATCTCACCGCGACCCAAAGGTTGATGATTTTCATCCTCGTCCAAGAACAACACCCGAGACTGTTTGGCTCGCCTGTAAAAATTTTTCGGTACAAACATTGGGGTAGTTCTGGGTTTTTGGTATACTATGCTCAACGCGCGGCTCGCCTCGACGGCCGCGACGGACGCGGCCACGAGCAATATCACTTTCCATCTATTTTCGCTCAACATGTTGCTTCGGTCACTGCTCTGTTGATTTCACTTTCATTTTATGCGATACGTTTATAATTTTACGAGTGTTTTTGTTTGAAAATTTTTAAAACATTTTTTTTGTAAAAATATTTTGAGAAATCTCAGACGTAAATGTTCATTTTGTAACGAATAGGGAGATGCGTGCGCGACGGACGGGCTTCGGGCGCGGACTGGGTGCTCGCGGGGCCCGCTCCGGCGCACGACTGGGGATTATATAAAATGATGCACTCGTGACGGCGGTAGCTTATGTAATGTCTAGGGCAACTTAATTCATTTTAATGTTGGCACAAATTTTCGGGACAACTTAACATATATGTTTAAATGCTATTTATTACAAAATAGTAAACATAAAACATAAACTTTAAGCTTCATGATTTTATCTGTAATTCTTTTTCAGTCACTTTAAAATCCAGATTATTTTATATTTATATTATTGTTATCTGCAGGAGTTCGTAGTTTAAATATACAATAACAGGCAATTAAAATAAATTAAAAATGCTGCAATATTATGCTGATGACTTTTGTTTCTAATTCTAATTTTAATCTTTGTAACAAAGGTATTAATTTAGTGTCATACAAACAAAGATAATTGCATTCATGCATATATTCAGTCAAAATCAGATGTATACAATCGTAGAAAGTAGGTTAAATGTTAATTGAGGATATAAACCGTGCCAAATCTTATTTTATATCCGGTTTGTTGTTGACGCATGATTGGGTAATAAACAAACCAGCTGGTCTCAGCTATAGTTAAATAAAATATGTAAAATATTACCATATTCGTTGCTTTATGCAAAAAAAATGTTTCATATGAAAAATACAAAACACTTAACTTCCTTTACAAGTGAATGCAACGACACAAGATAAACGCGTTGATGTCTTTTACTTTGAGTATTGATAAGGTAACATCATGATTATTTGAGCTATACCAACTTTTATTCATCATCATCAGCTAACTATACGTCCCCACTAAGGCGCTCCGAGCCTACCCTGAGTCAGGTGTGTCTAGGCAATAGTAAACCACGCACGCAAAATTAAGTTTCAAGCTTTTATATATAAAAACGACGATACTTCCATACAAATTTACAGCCCCATTTTCAAAACCTCACAGCCCTTTTGTGGCGTTAAAAAATATCCTATGTCCTTTCTATGGCTCTAGACTCTCTGTGTACCTAAATTTACTTAAAGCGGTCCAGTAATTCTTGTGGAAAGAAGGACGAACAGACAGACAGAGTTACATTTGCATTTATAATATTAATAATAAGGATAACGAAAAGTTATTAAAACACCTAGATGTGGCTCACGAGATTACCGCCATGTGGCGTATAAAATCGACTACCATTATTCCGATAGTCGTATCGGTGAATGGACTGATAACCAAGAGTTTCGACTAATATCTGAAGCACCTCTCGCTAAACAGTTGGATCAAGGGCCCGATACAAAAGGCATTCTAGAAACCGCGCGCATCGTGAGAAGGTTCCTGTCTCTGCAGCACTGACTGCTGGTTGCTGGTGGATTTTTAATATAATATATTTTGTATAATTTTTTATGTTATGTATGAAATGATAGTACATTAAGAATATGATAAATAAATAAATAAATACATATATCAAAGGATAAGGATGTCGTGACGCGGCGGAACTGACGCACACACACAACGTAATAGTATTCCACAATCATTCTATATGCATGATTGGTATTTTTAATGAATAATTAAAAATTAAATTTCAAGAGCGACGTAAATATTCAAAATCCTGTTTAAGTAGCGTTATAATAATACAATCTTTTATGCCAGAGCTCTCAAAATGTCAATTGACCTTTAGGATGGTCTTGTCTGTAGGTAGAGTGCTAATAGACATATTTCAATTTCAACTTATTTTGCTTATGCTGATTCCCATATTATAAAGAAAAGTCCATATCTATTATTAAAACCGGACATTGATAAAACCTATTCAATAAAGTAATATATGACTAGAATTCTTATCCGTGTATCAATTCAAGATTTCAGTTTTATTATATTTCTATTATTTTTTTCGCAAAGATCCTTTCTGAATACATTTTTGATATAATTATAAACTCCTGCAAAAAGTGATTATTGAATATTTGCTCAGCTAATTTATGTAGGAGTTTTAGAGAATTGCCTATAAATGTAACCAAGGGTTGGCAACACTTCATTTACCGTATACATAGGATATTTCATTTACAAGTCGTCATAAATCATGGCACGAACAACATGACCTACCTAACCGTAAACTCATCATCATCATCATCCGCTCACTCTATACGTTCCCAACGAGGTTCTCGGAGCCTACCCTAAGTTAAGGGTGATTAGTCCATAGTCAACCACGCTGGCCATATGCGGGTTGGTTGACTTCACACATATCTTTGAATTTCTTCGCAGATATGTGCAGGTTGCATCACGATGTTTTCCTTCACCGTAAAAACATCGGATAAATGTACATATGCAAATCGAAAACCGAAAACCACATTGGTACATTGCGGGATTTGAACCCAGGACGTGAAGATTACAAGTCAAGTGCTGAAACCCCTGAGCCACCGACGCTCTATAACCATAAACTATCAGTGCCAAAACACTTATACAATTACATTTTGTAATATCTGTGTTTGAAGGGAAAAACATATTAATAATAATATTTCTGTCAGCAGTGGAATCGTACGGTACTAAATAATAATAATCAAAATAATACACAATTAATTCCTACCAGTATTTTGTTAAATATTTAATGTTATCCAAAGTTATACGTACAAATAGTTCCTGAAAATAATGATTAACGCTACGCATTAAGAGAACCAAAACAAGGACAAATTATCTTAAAAAACAATAGACAAGAATATACTTGGGCTATTACAAGATGTGTAACAATCATGTACTCGTATTATAGCAGGAAAATGTAAAATACGTCAGAAATACCCATATGTTAATATAATTTGTAATATAACTATTGTAATTGATAAATACAGATTATATTTTTCAATTGTTTTGTTACATACATTTAATAACTAATAATTTAAAAAAAATCGCAATAAGCCAGTGTGGTTAAAGCCCAATAACTCCTAATTATTATTTTTAACAACAAAATAATAAAGTAACCAATATTAAAAATAATAGTAAGCCCAACTCCCTCTATAAGGATATGTGTTATCATAGTTTACTGATCAATAAAAATAGCACAAAGTTCTATCGTCTTTTATAGGTATATAAATTTGTAAATTAATAAAAGTTGATATTTCTTGATTTATATTGTTTTCTTCTTCTTCTTGTAAAAGCGATTGTATATTTAGGAATTTCTTTACGGGAAGAAAGACATACGTTAATAAAATATCATATAGTCATATAGTCAATATATTGTCGTATAGTCAATATATTGTATTACAGAGTCAAGAAAAGCCACATCTGTGGGAAGTACCGTCATACGGAATCTTTGAAATATATTTTTTATTTCGATTAAATCTAACTCGGGGTCGTGGGAACTTTTGTTACCAAGTTTTTTCTAAGATACAAATTTTAATCTTACTATCTTACTTCTGACTAGTATTATAAATGCGAATGTTTAGATAGATGGATGGAAGTTTGTTTGAAGATATCTCTAGAACGGCTGAACGGATCTCGATGAAATTTGGCATACATATAGAACATAGTCTGGAAGCACACTAACGCTACTATTTATGTTTTTTAATTCCGCGCGGACGCAGTTGCGAGCAACTGCTAGTTTTATTATAAATAATTAAATAGCATTGGCTTTGATAAATAACAGTCTAGTATGTGATAAAATCAATGAAATGTTAAGTTATATTATTCTCTATTTTTGTCTATTTACAAATATTTTTTTAGTATGGTAGTATAGTTTATTCTTATGGAATTTAAATAATTAAACACTTGATAGTGTTCATGAAGTAACAAAGAAACATTAATACGAAAGTTATTTATAGTTACGGAATTTAAATTAATATCCATCTTTTGGTCCAAGAATTGAGTCGATACTAACACAAATACAATAAAGTAGGCTGGGGAATCAAACTTAAACCCAATACTCACAGAAATATTATACTTGTCATACTTATTTACGTCAGATGTTATTAGTAATACATGTAAATATACACTAGTTCGGGCACCGGAATTAAATTCAACATTTTTTGATTTTTTAAAAACAAATATATCAATTTTGAATATTCAACTGACAAGTACCTTTTTACTCGCGAAATAACTTTGCTGAAAATTATTAATATTAAACTTGTAAGGTACTTTAATAATTAAGCTATAATTTTTTTAATCATAAACATTTAAGGGAGCCCAATAAGCATCATGAAAGTTTCATCTTAGTCTCTTAAATAGTACATTGAGAACCGCCATACAAACTGCTATTTTTATTTATACATGTATATATAGTTCGTGACGTACAAATCATGTATTCGTGCAGTAATCTTGATGTTCTCTGAACCTCAGTCGGAGGGAATCCCGCGCGGAGAGTCGACGGTTTAAAATAAATAGTTTTTATTATAAATTGGCAGTGCATGGCTAAAAGTTGTACGAGTGATACCATTTATATATACTAAGGTTTGTTTCAATCTTTTTTTATTTATTATGTTTATGTATTATACACGTTATATATATTTCATTCAAATTGCTATGTATTTCTTTGTATCAATATATGACTAAAGATACTGCATATCAAATATTTTTCCTTATATTCAACGGAATCGTTTGTATACGATTTTTTAGAAACAAACATCACTGTCATTGTTAGGATATTTGTAACGTAGTTCAGATTTATGAGGAAGTAAATGTATATTAAAGTATATAAGTATACATAACTATTCATTTAACATACATTACTATAAGATATTTACATTATTTAGTAAAGTCTTTATTAATTTTTATAAATCTTATCAACGTCACAAAGTTGTGTTAAAGTTCACATTTTGTTTTATCGTTCGAATACTTGTTTTAAAATACGTATATTCAATAACAGGTCGTCACAATAAATACAAAACTAGTAAAAACCAGAATGTTAGGAGAGGTAACGAACCTTAGCGTTGGATTTAGCGTCCATCTAATCGTTTTTTTTTTCCTTGTAACACAACATTTTATTTTAATTGTCAACTCGTGAATCCGATGACTTCTTTTATATATATTTAAATTATTCTGCATACTTATAAACGTATAACCCGTTTGCAAATAGCTATAAATAATGATTCATATTAAATATTTCATTATATTATTGTCGTTACAATGGACCTAGCACGAATATTTATGACGGTAATAATCGTGTTGACGTCTACAAAAGTATTAAAAGTTAAAAAGTGTATTAAAATACACCAAAAATCTCACACTAATTTCGACATAATTGATGATGATGCTACGATGGCGATTGACGTAAATATTCATGTAATGTCCACTGGGTTCCAAATACCGTGACCAAGTGTCACTTGTTTTGACACGTTTAATTATCACTCTTTTTTTTAAAAAGAATATGAGAGATGAAAATATGTTTTATATAAGTTTCAATGCAATCGAAACACATAGTATGTATAAGTAATTTTTAACAACGCATGATATTGGACAACCATTTTACAAGGTACACTTGGGATAATACTATGTTCTACATTAAGCTTTTTAATTGAATTATATTATGTCAACAACTAACAAAACTTCTTAATTTTCAGGTTTAAATTTAATTGGACAATTGAAATACAAAACCCTAAAAATGGGGATTAAAAATATATCTGTCCTTTTTATATTAGCTGTGATGTCATGTGTTTTGAACTGTCAAAATATATCAGGTAAGATGTGATTTTTTTTCGAGATGTTACATACTTCGATAATCATCTAATTATACATGCGAATGTTTAGATGGATGCATGTATAGATAGATGGATAGATGTTTGTTTGAAGGTATCTCCAAAACAGCTGCATGGATCTCAACAAAATATTGGATTGAGGTGGTCTGAAAGGACACATTAGCTACTAATTAAGTTTTTTTTTTAATTTCGTGCGGAAGGAGTCGCGGGCGACAGCTAGCATCCTATATTTTTGGAATGGTAAGAGGTGTTAGCTTCAAATTATTTTAGCAGATTTAATTTTTTTCCCAGAATCCGGTAATGGTAAAGCAGTGATATGTTACATGACCACGTGGTCAATATACAGAACGGATGACGCCAAATTCAGGATATCTGACATTGATCCGACACTTTGCACTCATGTCGTCTACGCGTTCTCCGGTTTTGACGAGAACAGGAATACAGTCAAGAGTCTCGGTAAGTTTCTTTAACCGTTGATTTCTGAGACCAAAATCTCTGAATAAACAAATTTTCCATATTATTCCAAAACTGAGCTAACGCTCTGTTTTGTCAAAGATAACATTAAATTAAGATAATACTAAATTGTTAAATTTAAACCGTGTATTTTGGTCTTAGAATCCCATGGTAAGACCATCAATTTAATTGTTTAAGGCTCTTCTTTTATAGTTTAAGCAAGTGTTTATTAAGTTGGGTATAATGTTTTTCAGGGATATTTATTTTAGTTCATTTCGTAGTAACCTCTTGTAGATTAATCAGATTGACCGATCTTGACACATAACCTTTCGTTCGGCTGGTTCCTTCCCTGTCGTAGGGATGCCACTGTAAGGTTTTTTTAGCTTAAAATTTAATTTAATTTTCAGATCCCGGTCTTGACACAGATGGTAAATTAGAGGGCGGAGGCTACAAAGCTATGGCAGCTTTGAAGGAAAAGAATCCTAACTTGAAAGTGCTTCTATCCATCGGAGGTTGGAACGAAGGCTCATTAAAGTTCTCTAACTTGGCCGGATCTCCCACTGCTAGAAAAACCTTTATCAAAAGTATACTTGAATTTCTTACGTAAGTACTTTTTACAATGTTATTAAGTAAACAATTTTGTTGTCTTAATAATTTTTATATTCTATTCAATCTCTTTGGTCGTGATTTGATGATTACTTAATAATTGGCTTAAAAGGTCACAATTTACTTAATATCCAGAATCAAACTCTCGATTAAATGTCGAAAATAATAAAAATAGTTCACGATTCTAAAATCAATTGTTACAAGCGTGTAATTTGAATATACATGTAAAACATGTTATGTTAATCGATTATTGCCTGTAGAACACAACTGCGAAAGCAAACCAGAACAGTGAGCCTAGCTCGAATATTTCTGACAATCGCCATCGTATCGTCATCGATAAAATTTATATTACAATTTGAGCAGCGCCTGTATGGGGATTAAATTACACCAAAAATCTCATACTAATTTTGACATAATTGACAATGACGATACGTAGACGACTGTCGTATATACTATGTACTACATACATATGTACTAAGCCCCCTGAAGCGTAGTGTAAAGTTAAAGGTTCATATAAAGATAAGCCGGAATCGTACGAATTACACTCGAGAGTTGCTTCAGAGTGAGACAAAAATATTCCCATACGTTTGTCTCGTTCTTAAGCGACTTCAGAGTTCGAACGATTTCGGATTGTATCTAAACGAACGAAATATTGTATCTACACCTATTGACGAAAACGAAGCGAAAACGGAACCCAGAGTTCGAATTTGATGTCGGAGGCTTTGTTGAAATGATTACCAAAACGTACCAAAATTTATGTTTGCTTTATACAGTGTATATTCGTGTCCTAATAAAAATGTTTTTTTAGTACCTATGGATTCGATGGTATAGATATGCATTGGAAGTTTCCTACGCAGAGAGACGGCAAACCAGAGGACAAAGATAATTGTGTAACTTTGATGAAAGTATGTTAAACCTTATTATCTTATTTATATGTTACTAAATGTCGCCCGCAATTCCATCCGCGCAAAATAAAAAAATAAAAACACTTTATTAGAGCTCTATGTGTTCTTACAGACTACAGTACTATGTTTATGCCAAATTTCATCGAGGTTTTTTGGGTGGTACTGGACTCTTTCAAACAAATCCATCCATCCATCTTAACATTCGCATTTATAACAACTGTAAGAAGTAAGACAGTCGCAAATAGAGACTCTTAGTCTGTAATTAGTATGGAAAAGCTTCAATAAGAAACATGTTAAGCCTAAGGAAAAAAACGGTTTTGTGAGCGGCAGTAAATAATTAAACACTTGCTAAACGTCTTATGGCTATATTTTTTTTATTCTAGGAAATAAAAGAAGCTTTCACACCCGCAAGATACACTTTAGCAATGTCTGTGGGTGCACAGTACTACGTAATGGAAGCCGCATATTCTTTGCCCAAGCTAAACGACTACGTGGATTACTTTATCGTATTAGCTTACGATTACCACGGTGTATGGGACGGCGTAGTCAACGCTAACGCACCCCTATATGGTTTGAATAAAGACGATGTCTTCAGTATTGTAAGTTATTATTTTATTTGTCAATTTTATATTATTTGAAGTGCTTGCTTTACTAAAAAATAAAATAAATCACCATAGCACAGTTTTCTACTAATGTAATGATTTATGAACAATATCAATTGAAAATAACTTTAATCCCACTCTATAGATTGGTACATGTTATATACCAAACTGTTATTTTTTTAAATTAACATTAAAAATTATATTAAACATTTAAATTAATAATAAAGTATGTATATAGAGTATGTCCCTTTCTTTTTTTACAATTAACAATCGCATGTTTAACAGGCACTTCATAAATTATATTTTTTTTTTCATTATCAGGACAAATCATTGAGATACTTAATGTACCAAGGAATCAGCCCAAAGAAAATTATATTAGGCTTGGCTCTGTTCGGTCGTACGTTCATACTAGAAAAGGCTGATACAGAAGATATTGAATTCGGTCGTACTCCAGTCAAGAGCGAAGGATTTGACGGACCTTATACTAAAGAACGTGGTTTTATTGGTTACAATGAGGTAATAAAAAGATTCATAAACAAGCGTCGACCAAGACTACGTTCGCATCAACAATATGTTAATGTCCCATGCGCTATTACATGCTTTAATCTGTCAATATTCCAAAAGGTGTTTAATACCTTTGAGTCCAGTGATACGATAGTGGTAACAATCTATCCATATAAACTTTCGCATTTATAATTTTGTACATAACAGCAGTGGAAATTTACTGTTATATTTAATGCTGTATTATTTTGAAATGACAGATATGTATGGAACTTACAAAGAATGATAATGACTGGATACGACTTTGGCACGAGAAGACAGCGACGCCATACCTTCGTAATGGAGACAAAATCATCACATATGATAACGCGAGATCTTTAGCTGCCAAAGTAAAGTAAGTATTTAAAGTAATATTATAAGATGACAATAAAATAGTGTAGTAGCTTCTACCAAAAGAAGCAGGCCCATCTAGCAATCTGTAGATCTGCGGAAAATCTTCTAAAGCAAAATTAGAGATTTTAGTCTACGCCACGTCAATTACATTTTGCCTAATTGTATAAAATGTATTCATCGTATTTTATTTGACATAATTTGAGTGAAGCCTATATTTTAAGACATGTTATTTTTCCAGAAAAGCAATGGAATTCAACCTTGGCGGAGTGATGGCTTATTCCATAGACACGGACGACTTCAAGGGACTGTGCGACAGGGAGCCTGACTATGTTTCAATATCCTTTAAAGGACTACACAACTTCGTTGAAAAGTTCAATCGTATTGCCAGTAATCCAGTACTGCAAAAAGTACTCAAGAATCTTAATCTACCCGACGGTGAGTTTTATTGTGTAATTTAATTGTTTATAATTTAACCCATACATTGATAGACTTATTATTTATCTCTAAGGCCCGCTACGCATCTGCGGTTCCTCTGGTATGGCAGATGTCCATGGGCCTAATAAAAATAAGCTAATAATAAAAATCAATGAGCTATTAAACGTGAACACTAATTATTTATGTCCTTATAGCACAAAAGCTGGGAAGTTTGAGCAAATCAACAGAGATCGCGCACAAGAACCATCTCTGGACAACAGAGTCGAGTCCGAATTATCCATTGCTCCGAGCTATAGTCGATTCTTTAACTCTGGCGACGGAAGAGAAGATAGTCATGACTGATATGGTTTCTCTTATTAATGAGAAACCAAAACCTGGAAATACTGGTGTAACAACTAACAGCATATTTACAGTTGTCTGTTATTTCTGTTTCCTTTAAACTACAATAATTAATAGTTGAAAAGAATATTTTATAAGGCAAATTTTTAAGAGCTCAAGTTCGTAACACACTGGAAGACGCATTATGTATTAATAAATAAAATTAAATTGTCAATATTATGATTGATTAATTTGTTTTTATATTTTCTATGAAAATCTAACTATTATCATAATATTGCCTTTATGTCACTAAATAAATAAAAAATATATTAATTTAATGAATTTTTATTTCATTTCTTTGCTTCTTCTAGTAACATTTTTTAAATATCTTTGTCTTTTGATACAAAGAAAATAAATTATGTATGTTTAGATGTACCTATTCCTAACACACATTTATTGCCGCTCCGTCTGCCGGTAATAGAAAATAAAAAAATAATAATATCCTATATTATCCTATATACCAGACTATGTTCTACATCTGTGCTAAATTTCATCAAGATCCCTTTAGCCGTTCTGGAACTACCTTCTAACAAACATCTACTCAATCAACTAAACTTACGCATTTATATCTTTTACATTCTTATAATAATTTACATTAAAAAGTTAAAAAAAAAATCCTCTAGCGACTACTTACTGAGAGGCAAGAAGCTTATAAAAAATTAATAAGGTTATGTCTGAAGATGCGGTAGTTTCGTATATTCAAAATGCTTTTTTTTCACATCTTCATACTTTTATACTAAGCATTATGCACCAAAAGGAAGAAAAAAGTTCTTTCGCTTGACTGTTGTGACATCTTTACGTCTAAATTTTTTCCTAAACATACAAACATAGAACTATATGTTCCTAAATTCTACCTATAAAATATAGTTTCTATTGAGTGTAATTTAAATATAAATTTTAATACAATATTTGGAATTAAACATTATCTTGTTTTAACAATGTTATTTTCCTTGTATTTGTTAATTATTTGTTATGTATAACTTCAATTAATCTGTCATTTCAATAACAATAACAAACAACACTAATTAATTGAACGTACAGTTCTTATCATTATTAACGTATAAAACAATGTCAGCGTATTAATATAATTTCATATGAAATAAAAACAAGTAATATGACATCTGTTTTTTTTCAATCTTGTTTATTTATTTCGGTTAATACATTCTTAAAGTTAAAAAAAGATTTGTCTGCGTGTTTTGTATTATACAATTTTAATGAATAACACGACTCCGTCCGCGCGGAATTAAAAAAAGAACTTGATTAGAACCCAATGTGTTCACCAGACTATGTTCTATATATGTGCCATAGTTTAACGAGATCTATGTAGCCTTTCTGTAAATATCTTTTAACAAAACATCCATCTATCCAAACATTCGCATTTATATTAGTTAAATTAAATAATGGAAAATAAGCAGCTAAATGTAGGGAAAACGAAGAGGGTGACATAAACCAGGGTGATGTGTGATCTTTGTAATTTCATCTAAATTATGTTATTATTTATCAAAATCTTCAAAATGTAAAACACGCTAATAGCAGTTTTTTTCTCGCAATACATATGTAATCAAGCCAGTTTCCATACAACGCTACGCAAGAACAAAATAGTATACGTTGATCTCGCGATGGAGAACGACGTCAAAGTTTTTTTATAAAAACAATTTAGATGATTATATGGATTTAAATTAAGTTTATTCTTGTGTTAATTTAAAAAATACTGGCTACCTAATGTTCTATACTCACCACTAGCTAATAAACGGTGAGTTTTATTAACATTTTATCAAAGAAAAAACTAAAATTCTTTTGTTTTTTAACTCTCGAAGGTTATTTTTGTAAATGGAATATTTTTTGCTAAATTGTTTTACTATATTCTTGAATGTCATTATATTTACAAATGTTACCAAATCTTACTTCTTACTAATATTATAAATGCGAATGTTTAGATGGATGAATGTTTGAAGGTATCTCCAGAACGGCTGAACGGATCTCGATGAAATATCATACATATAGAACATAGTCTAGAAGAACTCATAGCCAACTATTTTTTTTTTAATTCCGCGCGGACAGAGTCGCGGACGACAGCTAGTTATTTATAAATGATGATCATAAAGCGATTCATTTCGTGAAAATATAAACTTTGAATTTTTTGTTAAAAATAAATTGTAGACATCATTGATTACCTATTTTGTCATGGCTTTTTGTTGTTGCTTTTTTGTACTCATATATTATGTCGAAAAATAAAAGGTAACTGCAACCGTATCAAATGGAATAACACTATGGTATAACCCAATAATAAATCCTTAAGATTGATCCAAAGATTATTAAATTACTTTGCAAGGAAAGGAGTAGAAAAATTATTTAACGTCCTCTAAATGGATTAGATATATCAATTGCTATTGGAAACATAAGGTCTAATTAATTTAAATTATAATAAGTAAATTAAGAATATTGTTTAGAAATATCTTGAAGAAAGAAAATGATTGATGTCGATAATACGGTTTTGATAAAACCTTTAGAGCCAGCCCATATTATCCAGTAGACTTTTTATGGAAGAAGGTACAGTACAGATGTATCGGATGATGGAAAGGATGAAAGAATACTAAGTTGATAGTAATCAATTTATTAAGTACACTTATGTTGCAAAGAGCCTTGTCATTTAAAAGATTCTATTATTTCAGATCCTAGAGCTTAAACGATATAAAAATTCTAGTCATATATCAAAATGTGTAATAAAATTATATTGCTGTTTGTCGTCTTAACGGCGGTGTGCTTTCTCCAATGTCATTCAACTGGTAAGTAAGATTTTATAATTTCAGTTACACATAGACATCTTTACAAGCATCGCCCAGCATCTTTCCTATTATCTTAGTAATATTATAAAAGCGAATGTTTAGATGCATGGATGGATAAATGGATATTTGTTAGAAGGTATCCCTAGAACAGCATGGATCTCGCTGAAATTAGGGATAGATATAGAACATAGTCTGGAGGAACATATAAGCTACTAATTAGGATCTTTTTATTTCCGCTCGGACAGAGCCACAGGAGTCAACTAGTTGTACATAATTTTAATGAAAATTTTGAAGATTTTATTGAGATAATTTACACATAAATAATCTGCTTTTCAAATTTATAAATGAATAACTAACTCTATTCAACCTCTACGTATGTTATCATGAAACTTATTCATCTCAATATGTCTTATTAAAATTTAGTTCTAAATTATATTCAGACTGTTGGTCTATTGGCACTGTTAGATACTATTTTGGGTTACATTAGCACATGCATACCGAAGTTGTATTCTGTACGAAACGACTTAATAATATTTGGAATTCGCATTCATTGTATGCTTTGTTAAAGTATATACCGAGTTGCTTATTAAAAATGATTCGCAGAACTGTCAGCTTCGCTAAAATCGTTTTAATTTTTTTCCCCGGTAAGAACCGGTTTCACTTTAGCTCGGGGTTTACTGTTGTTTATCAATATCGCCTATTGATAGCATCAATATTATTGAAGAAAAATATCACAATTATTACATTCTAACACATTGTTAAATTTTTATTAATCTTAATTTATCTAACTTATAATATTTAACACATTGCTAAATGCTCGTGATAAGACAATTAAAATCCAACTTTACTTTTTAAAGTATAAATATAATTAGATTGTTGATTGCAACAAATATTTATAACTTTAAACTTACGTGCTTTTTACTGATTTACTGTTCGTTAAAAACTGGGATTCTTACCACAGTTAAGCTGTGATCATGGCGGATGCAACTGTGCTGAAATATAGGGAACTCAAACAGCTTAATCATGGTAAGAGTTCCATTTCTTACGACAAAGTATATTAAAAAAACCACAAAAGTTTAAAGTTATAAATACCAGTAATATAATACTTATAATTTTTATTATTTCCAGGACCAACGCATGGAAAAGTTGTCATGTGCTATCTAGCCACATGGGCCACGTACCGCCCTGGTGAAGGCAAGTTCGATCTCACGGACCTAGATCCATCTCTGTGTACCCATGTCGTCTACATATTCGCTGGTCTTGACGAAAATATGATGACAATTAAAAGTATCGGTAAGAATTTTTTATTAGTTCTATTGCTATTTAAATCTAACCGTAGAATTCCACTGCCGTGATACTTGTGTTAATCCATATTGTCATCTCTTTTATAATCTTTGACAAAATAGAGACTACAATAAAGTGTATTAAATAGTGGAATTCTACGGTAAGCAGTACAGTCAATGTGGTATCGTCTTTACCAAGGCTTCATAGACCATAACAAAAATGATTAGGATATATTTACATAAATCCTCCTCACAAATTTTTGGAAGAGACTTCGTAGTAAGACTCCACATTTTTTCATGTTTTATATCTTTTTGAGTTTATTGCTTACGTAAAAATCTAATCATTTCCGCATTGTAAATGCTTTTCTCATTATTAATATTAAATTAATCTTAAAATAATAAACTAGAAAACATACAACATTCTCTAGATATTTCCTCAACTTTAAATAAGAATGACATTGTTTGATTCTACGGCAATTTAATGCTACGCAGTCTTTGCTTTGGTAATAGGAACCATATTTTAATGTCCATTAAGCACAAATTACTTTGAAAGACGAAAAGATGAATTAATGACAACACATGTGATAATGTTCCAGACAGTGCACTTGAAAAAGGTTACTCGAACGCAGGCTATCAGAGTCTTGCTAAACTTAAAGAAAGATTTCCTCATCTAAAGATAATATTATCTGTTGGTGGCTGGAACGAAGGTACAACCAAGTATTCAAAGATGGCCGCAGATTCCAACTTCCGAGCTAAATTTATACAAAGTACAGTGGAATTCTTAAAGTAAGTATATGAGCAATTCTTCTATAAAGTAACTAATATTACTATTACGGCTGTATGGATCTCGGTAAAATATATGTAAAGCATAGCCTAGAAGAACACACATACAGGCCACTGATTAGGTATTTTGTTAATTCCGCGCGGGTGGATTCGCGGGCCACAACTAGTTAAACTATAAAAATAAAACGTAAATTTCATGTGATAAGTCTTAAAAGATCAGTATGTGAGAGAGATATAACAGTTCTTGTTGAGTTGTTTGAGTTAGAAAATATATTAAACTAATTTATGCATAGAAAATGATTTCTTAAGGTCCTTCCTTATTTTACCTTAGGTTACATCAATTTGATGGACTGGACATGCATTGGAAATATCCTGTCGTAAGGGACGACAAACCTGAAGACAGACCTAACTTTGTGTCTTTAATAAAGGTACTACAATCAGTTCTAAACATACGACAACACATATAGAAAACAAACGACACCAGATCATTCAAATCTCGATTAAAGAACATCACTAACAGAGACAAATTAATTTATTTTTTTAAATATCATCGATATTAAATGTCAAGGTGATAAAGTTAAGAAATCATAACTTGTAATTTAATACAAATTCAAGGACATTGTTAAGCTAAAATCATCATAAATACGAGTTATTTCACTAACATCAAAAACACATTAAAGTAATAATAGTTTAGACAATTTAAAAAAAATCAGTAAAGGCTGAAAAGGCGACAAGCACATAACATGATGAAAAGAATCGTAGACCATATTGTACCATATATCGCTGCATGAGTAAACAAATGAAACAAATGAACTGGTATCTTTAGTATTTAGTATAATAGTATTTTATTAACGTTTTAAATAATCACTTTCAGGAATTAAAACAAGCATTCACTCCTCATTCTCTCATCTTGACAGCGGCGCTGGGAGCTACAAAATATACTTTGGATCAGTCATACGACTTGCCTCAATTAGACAAATATATTGACTACTTTAATGTATTATGTTATGATTATCATGGTTCTTGGGAAGGAGTTATAGGAGTGAATGCAGCTCTTTATGGGGTCAACGACAATGATTTTGTTAATGTGGTAAGTTTTTTCTTCAATTAATAAATTCTACTGATACTTGTAACATGTCTATTGATCTATTAAATACAATTATTTCACGAATATAGAGCGTCGGTGGCTCAGGGGTCAAGCACTTTACTTGCAATCTGCAGGCCTTGGGTTCGAATCCATGTATGAATGTGTTTTTCGATTTCCGATTAACGTATGTACATTTATCCCACGTTCTTACGGTGAAAGAAAACATCGTGATGCAACCTGCACATATCTGAGAAGCACTTGGCCAGCGTGGTTGACTATGGGCTAATCACCCGTAATTTAGGGTAGGCTCTAAGCCCTCGGTGGGGACGTATAGTGATCTGATGATGATGATTTCACAAATCAATCCGGTTCTTGACTTTTTTGTACGGTGTTTTATTGTTGATGACCTAACAGCATTCGTGTATAGTTTCAATGTCATTTACAAGCCTGCATTCAATAATTCGGACAGTTCACAATAAATAAACTTATGATAACAGATTATAATAACCTTCATGTATTGTGAAAAATGATTCCACATATTATTTTTCCACAGGACTATACTCTTAAGTATTTGCTGTCTCATCAAGTTACTCCGGGAAAAATAATCCTCGGCCTAGCTTTCTTCGGACACGGTTACATTCTGAAGGATCCCGTCACACCAAATATAGAGTTTGGTATAACACCAATCTCAACACAATCGTGGCAAGGACCTTTGAGCAAAGAATCTGGCTTTATGGGTTACAATGAAGTAAGTTCAACTTTTTCTAATTGAGCATGATTCGGAAATAGTAGAAATCAAGTTAATAAATACAATATCTACCTAACATCTATACAACGATAAGATGAACACTTGACCCACAATACATGCTATAAAAACAGCACCCTACTCCGACAAAGACATAGTGATAAAAATCTATATAAGGTCATCTTCTTTATAAGTAAGGAAAACTTCAGCAATTATCACAATTGAAAACAACTAATTTATAAGCCTTACTTATTCTTAGCTTTCGTTTTCAAGGAAATTTTTCTACTTATTGTCTACTAGATTTGCAAAGAATTGAGTGAGCCAACTTCTAAATGGGTACGCCACTGGGATGAAAAGACTGCAACGCCGTATCTACGCGACGGCGCTCGGGTCATTACATACGACAATCCAAGGTCGATTGCTCTTAAAGTCAAGTAAGTATTTTTATTTATACAAAAACGGTTCTCAATATAGATAAAGTTTTAATTTTTTTTACACAGTTTAAAACCGAATTATAGGAACCATATGGTCCCGGGACTACATTTGTAGTAATACGTAATTGTTTGAATTTCTATAAGTTGATTGTTAATTTTAAATTTTTAAATACTTTTTCAGGAAAGCTGTGGAATACAATCTAGGCGGCGTGATGGCATGGTCTGTGGACACTGACGACTTCAGAGGTCTCTGTGAAAAGGAAGCTGACTACGTATCTGTGTCATATTCCACTCTATGGGATTTCGCTCACAAGTACAACCGCATCGCCAATAATCCGGTGCTGGAAGGAATTCTTAAGAACCGAAATCTCCCAAGTGGTAAGATTCAAATTGGATTTTTATTTGTTATGTTCACCAATAACAACATATCTAGTACTAAAAATATCTTATGATGTGGGACCCAAATTAGAGTCATGATAACATTTTTTTACACCCACATCTCAGTAATATAAATGCGAATGTTTAGTTGGATAAATAGATGGATGGATGGATGTTTGTTCGAAGGTATCTCCGGAATATCTCGAAGGATTTTGATGAAATTTGGCATACATCTAGAGCATAGTACTTATTTGGTTTTTCTTAAAATGCCGCGCGGAGTCGCGGGATACAGCTAGTTTCATAATATAGCTGAGTTATACTTAAAAGTTATTTTTTGGCCGAATGAAGCCCCTATACAATCAACGTATCTATTGCAGCTGTTGAAATCTTTTATCATATTAATCCGCTTCAAAAAAATAACCTATTTATTCTCTATAGCTGCCCGTTTAGACCGACTGACTGATACGCCGCCTAGTCATACAGACGTAGTCACAAGAAGTAAGAACCGAATCTGGTTGTCGGAATCTGAAACTTCAAACTACGCGCTACTGCATACTATTGATGACGTCATGCACCTCGCGTTAGAAGAAAAAGGAATCAGTGACGAAATGATCAAGCTATTAACTGAAAAAGCTGAATCCGGCGGACAGAATAGTACAAGCGTTTACACAATGGTCTGTTATTTCTGCTTTATTTAAGAACATATTAAGCAATAAGAGTAGTATTATGTAATATATAAATTAATGAACATAAATAACATTTATTATGTATACTATTAATATATTTAATTTATAATAGTGTGCCATTTGTATTCTTTTTAATGGTATGGGAAATAATTTTAAATTTTAAATAAAGAATGTTTGTACGTAATAAGCATGTATTTTTATAAAAAAACTTTATGTTTGTGAGTTTTATTTTTTTAAATATAGATTTGCCAAATAAATACTTTTTAAACACATTTAATGACTTAATTAATTTTGTTTTTTAATAATAAATTAGCTAATGTTTATAAATAAATCTTTTTTAACTGGTGAAATCTTTATTATTGTCACCGATGATTGCGAATTTGGGTTGAGGGGCTAAAGGAAATTAAGTGAAATTTGGTATGCAAATTGCCGCTGACCAGATTTCCTATAGCCAGTTTGTGTTTTGCTGTGGCGCCGAATTATATCATAATTAATTAAACGACACCGTGACTCAGTTATTTACTCAGATTATTTTCTTATTAAAATCAATACCAGATTTATAACGTGTGTTGAATGTTTGTAAAAGCGAAAACATAATTATTCTACATAACAACTTTTTTAATAGTAATATTTTTTAGTCACCATTCTAATTATTTCTAAGCTTATGCTCTTTTTAGTATAAGTTTTTGGTATGTGAGCAAACTGCCTGCCTCTTATCCACAACGCATCCGCAATTGCAGAGGCAGTGCCTACCTTTAATCAATAGAGAAAGGGTCGCACAGAAAGACAATATTTCCCTTACCGATGCGTTCACATCTTCATCAAACCCACTTACTCATCCTATCCTTACTTAAAAGTATAAGGGATATGAAGGGAAAGAAGACTAAAATTAGGCCTCTAACAGTTGACCCTCATCAGATGAAACGCGAAATTACTTCCATTTTACACCTGTCTTCTGTGTGCTCGTGGTATTTCACCGGATGATCCAACCCATTTGTGCAACAAATTCGTGAAACAGATATTATGGTTCACTGCAATAATTGAACGACGAGAATTGAACTCACAACTTCGTGATCGGTAATCTGTACACTTAACCGTTAAGTTATTGTCGCTTCATTATACAGAGTAATAAAACTATAGAGTAATCTGAACAGTGACATTTGATGCACAGATCAGTTATTATATACGGAGAAATGTTCCGGTCAATAAACATATCCTATTTTATAACACATATATAAGTAAGATAGGGATTTCTCTAGAAAATATTAACCTTCATAAATGTAGAATTATACAATTAAGAACTTTATAGGTATAAAGTCAAATGAACCTGATATTTTTCACCTTATAAACATTAGCCAAAAAAATGTTTTCTCTATATTTTTTTTGTTTGTATTTCTGCAATAGAAAACCAAAGTAACATTGAATCCTTAACTAGGACATTTCTCGCAAGATATAAAATAAGTCAATAGAATAATCTTTCTGATTTTCATCTAAAAATATATATAAAAAAACTTAGTGGCAAAATAAGAAAAAATGCAATATAATCTATGTACTAATCATATTAATACATCTCTCGTTACGTATCTGAAGAGAAAAAAATATTGCAATTAAAAAAAATCCAAACAGAACTATCTGCAACTTTCCGCTCCGGAGGCTGTCTGCTTTATATAAAGATTGGTACACACAGTCTTATAAAACTAGCAAACAAATTATTAGTAAATTGTTATAAATCAAAAAATAAAATACCATATAAATTTATTTTTTCTGATCACTAGAAAGGAAATTTATGCTACGGCTCAATAGACCTACCTCCAAGTAAATCTTGAATAATGCTTTTCCTTAATATGCAGTGTATTCAAATCTTAATAATATGATAAATGCGAATGTTAAGATGAATGGATGTTTGTTTCAATTTATCCAGGACGACTGAATGAATCTCGATGAAATTTGGCATATATTTAGAACATAGTCTGGAAGAAAATATAGGCTAATTGATATTATATTATATATTAATAAAAGTTGACAAATACACTGAATTACCCACCTAATATCCGATACGCATAGAAGCCTTTAGATGTAATATAGTATTTATAAGTATCAAGGTGTTGCTATAATAATCATGATAGCGCATCGATGTGAAACCAACTTTATAGCGACTGGTTTTGAGAAATCCAGTGACAGTCAATCTCTGAACGCCGTGAGAAACGGACGTGCCCATAAATACATTCACGAACGTTCACATTTCGCGGCAACTCAATAAATTAAAATCAAATTGTTCCAGTTCAGTTATAATTAGAAATTCAAATTCGTTTTATTTAATTAATTATTTGTCAACGAATATTTTAATTTATTTCCATGTGAAAGATATATCAAACGATCTATATGACATTTTAATAAGAAAATAATTGCATGATTTGTTTCTTGCGAGTTTTGCCGGAGTGAAAGTGTTTCTAGATCTAAAAGTGAAAGGGGCTGATCTTGTCAACAAGTAAGTATGCTATAGTGTGGTCCTAAAAAGCCTGTTTCGATCGATTCGATCGGGTTAGGCGCAGAGAAATGTAGGAAGATGGTAGAGCCGACCCAGTTATACCTAATAACTTTCCTTGACACTGTGCCTAATTTGTTATCGATGCGATGAAGATAAAACAAATACATGAAAGCTTATTTTAATTATATATATCTTAATATCTAATTATTCTCTGTAGTGTACCCAAAAGCTGGAAAAGTCAGTGACTCAGTGGTAGTGCTCCGCACTTGTAATCAACAGATTTTCGAATTTTGTATTTATATTTATCCGACGTTCTTACGGTAAACAAAAACATAGTGCAGCCTGCAACATGTCTGCGAGTAAATTCTTTAGTATGGGTAAAGTTTGCTCTGAGCCAGCGTGGTTGACTAAGGCCTAGTCACCTCTAACACAGTAGTCACTGACGACGTAATTTAATCTGTATATACAGGGTGTCCCAAAAGGTTACGTACATAGGAAGAGGGATGATAGGGGTGGTCACAAGGGTCACCAAAATAATAAAAATAAATATTCCCCTCTGGGTATTAAAAAAAATAAATGGCATTTTTTTAAAATTTTACACGTTCTGGGGCAGAAAATATAACTCTTCAGGAAATATAATAATATGATAAAAGCTTCGAATGTAGTTAAAAGAATACTTTATAGATCCAAAAACGTTGGTTAATAGTTTAAATTACTAACCTTATTTTTTAACATTAAAACGCGTGAATATATAAGACGTATTTTGTTTTTAAACTTGACTATCTTTTTGTGCTATTCGCATAAACATGATTCACTACGCTTTTCCTTTTAAAAAAGAAATACAAAGTTTCCTTTGAACTCGTTTTTAACAACAAAAGGAATGAATGGGTAAAAATTGAGCTTAAACAAATATAAAGCGCTTTCTGTTTGACCTACTTGAATAAAAAATGCATCGAAATTGAAAGTGGTTAGTCATTTCCAATGCTTTGTATAAAGCTTAGTTATTTTGTTGCATTGTTTATCATTTCAAACTGTACACAATACGTTATTGTTCGTTCACTTTTACTTATCTCTTTAAAAATGGAATTCTAAAAGAATTTGCATACGCTTGAGCGTGTCAGTTCTGGTTACATTACTTACTGTTGTACTACCTTTTGCACATTTAAAACAGTCCTAAAATTAAACTATTGTACAAATATTTCTATACAAGGCAGTGGAAACGCATTATAAAGTTTTTCGTGCATATGTGCAATATAATTCACGTATATGTTCTTTTCATTGCTGTAGCAATTTTAACAAGATAGGGCAAGAGGTTTTTAGACTACTGGTGGTATTCCATTTGTAAACTACTATACCATAGAGTAGAGTCTTTCTGGTTCGCTGTCATATTAAATTCACTAATATTTGTAGATGAAACTACTGTTTATTAACGCTTCGTTATATCTCTTTGTCTTTCGTAATGAAACGGTTAGTACGCGTAAGCTTCCCTTTGTCTTTTGTAAGCATTGTATTCTCAACTCTCACTGGCTCTCATCGGTCAAGTCTGACAGTAATAAAGGCTGTAGCGCCTCCAATGCAACAATTAACCGGGGAAAGCGCTGTACGCGTCACCGCGCTACTGGGCCATAGTGGTGTATTAAAATACTTTAATAAACGACAATATAGAAATTAAATTGCTAATTGAAAGTTATGATTAAAAAGTTATTAATGTATTCTTAAGAAAACTGTTTTATTTTTAATACATAAAACAGTGTGCTGATTTGCCAGTGATTTATTTTTAAATATTGTAGTTAATTTGCTAAAAAAGTAACAAATATCAGCAATTCTTTGGCACTTTTGTATGTTTGGATGGATGTTTGTTAGAAGTATCTGCAGAACGGCCCAATGTAATTTGGCACAGTCTGGAACACATAAGCTAATTATCAAGTTTCATTATTAATTCCATGCGGATAAAGTCGCGGGCAAAAGCTAGCTATTAAAGATGAAATACTAAGACATACTTAGTTACTCTTCGTTGGAATTTGTGTACAATTTAAATAAATGAAATTATTCTAATTCCATTTTAATTCTTTTTTCAGACTCACTTCTTAATAAGCCTAGTTAAAAACCAACTTGCGATATGTCCGAACAATACGGTGTCATAAAAGCGCCATGTCAAGGGTGAATACAATCACAAATAAACAATGGATATCGAGAAAAAATTCAGTAGTCTACAAAGCATTTAATAGAGTACCACATCTTCGCAAATCCAAATATACCAAATTCACAAGATGGCGGCAAAGAAGATTGACAAAATGGCGGCTGAATACAAAAGTTCTAATTCCACTAATGATCTTAAATGTAGCCGGACAAACACGGGCTGTAGAAGGTAATAATTTGTATAAAACTCGCAATTCGATAATTAATAATGGCTTATAAAAACAAAAATAAAATGTTGGGACCTTAAAAAGTTGCTAAAATAAAAATCTCATTTACTGCCGCACTCTTAGTAGTAAAGTTGAGGTTTCCACCTTAGTATAGATATGAATTCTGCTTAAGTAGCTGCTTAATGGCTCTGAGTGTGGTAAAGTTTAGTATATGATACTTTAATGCAGTCTTTCCCAAAATGGGCGATAAAGCCCCCTTGTGGGCGCTGCAGGTCTCAAGTTGCGGGTTATAGTAAAAGTTTCGTTTAGAATTCTCCGTTAATATACATATATACGTCACAATAATTAATTAATTTAATTTGAAGTGATAGTGGTTTTTAAATATGTGAAAATATAGGGGCGCTAAAAAAATGTTTAATCTCAAAGTGGGCAGTAGACAAAATAAGTTTGGGAACCACTGCTTTAATGTGTCATTCTACTGATGTCATTTACAAAAGCGGTTCACTATCATTAACTTAAGTTGATTCTTTAAAGTTACAGCTCTAACAAGTCGAGTGCTTGCGACGTTCTTCGGTTACCCGACTACATGCAGCATAGGATCTGAAGTAAAGCCTTGCTCGTTGTCACTGAGCTGCTGGCTAAAGGGAGGCACTAGGCTTAGAGGATGCGGTGGCAGTTGGCTGCTCACATGCTGTGGACCTCCAGACAATGTTAGAAATGACGGCTTTGATAATATGTAGGTTTACACTGCATGTACTCTATATGTAATAAATTAATATCTCCCTCCAAAAGCTTTCTGTTAGTCAATTATTTTTTACGTTTATTTGAAGTAGTTACAAAGAAACATAGGTACATTTTCTCAATGTGCTTTGATTCTTTCTACAAATTATTCTCGTTTATAACTTTTTTTAAAGATATATTCATGTAATGACGATCTGAAAAGACGAGTTCAAGTAAGACGTGAGCCTAAGTGAATATAATATGCAACAAGTGTCTTGTAGCATCTTTTTAATGTGATAACTGCTCGGTTCACAGCATACCGTCATCAGAGTGGAAGTACAAAGTGGCACCACCGACACTCCGGCTTGTGCCGCACAGACACGCTGTGGCCACTAACGTTTTTAGGAGACGAGCTGACGATGACACAACACAGGTGAGAGACTCTTTGTAACAACGCAGAAGCGAAACAGTCGAGAAAGCAATTAATATCGCAGACATGCACAATGGACCACGTAATAACGATCCTACGGATCAAAATGTGTGAAATGAACTCCTGCCATATTGAAGGACCAATATCAAAAACGACGCATCTGTGATACTTACGCGCTAATGTTTGTTTTAATTATTTTCAGAGCGATTGTGGACTATCAGCAAGTAGAATACTACAAAAGAGGATCATAGGTGGCAGGGAGGCGAGGTTTGCCGAATTTCCCTGGCAGGCGCATGTAAGAATATCAGAGTTCCAGTGTGGTGGTGTTCTAGGTAATTTTTTAATGAGACCCGTTAAATACAAAAATATCAAAAAGTGAATATACACAAATATTTATTTATTGTTAGTTTCCCGATGGTTTGTTGCGACGGCAGCGCACTGCGTGTCCCGTGCCAGACCGAGAGATATTGCGGTGTGGCTCGGGGCGTTAGACACAGCGGCGGGCGCGCACACAGCAAGGAAACTTGGGTAAATATAACTATCATGCTATCTCAGATTACGACAACTAAAAAGACTAAGTTTAGGTATCGAACGGAGCGGTAGAGGTTTAAATGAATTATTGACATCAGTCCTCAAGATAAAAAAGTTGTTGCCAAATTGACCTTAATAAAATAAATATCTTTGATCTCATTACATATTTTATTTATGAGAGCACCAAATATACTAACAGACTCTTTCGTTTTTTAGAGTGATCCAAAAAATTCTTCATCCTCTATTTCAATTTCGTATGACACAACCGGATCGATACGATATAGCTTTATTAAAGCTATCCCGACCTATTACCTACACGGGGCATATCCTGCCCATCTGTCTGCCGGAGCTGGACCTGGAGTTACGCGGCAAGTCCGGTGTGATCGCCGGTTGGGGCAAGACTGACGCTAGTAATGGTCACACCGGGACAAACCTATTGCGGTCTGCAACCGTCCCTATTCTTAGTAAGTAAACCAAACTTCAATTGTTTTACAAACGTCCGACAAAAAGGACTAAGAAAATAATACAACAATTTAAGGAATTAAAGATTCGAATTTGAAATGACAACAATGGCAGCATCTAATTAATTCAAGGTATAATATAAAAAAGTAAAAAGAATGTCTAGAATGAAGCAAATAAGCACTTAGTAAATAAAACTACCTCGTAAAATATGTTGACCTCATTACCACTTCATGTTAGGTTGAATTGTGGTAGTGCTCGTTCTTCATTAATAAAAAAAATCTTATTTTTAACAGGCAAAGAGCAGTGTATCAACTGGCACCAAAGCAAACAGATATCCGTTGAGATTCACTCAGAGATGATATGCGCCGGACATTCAGACGGACATCAGGACGCTTGCTTAGGTAACGTACAATATTACACAGGCTACGAAGTTATTATCTTGTTTTGTAGTCGTTCATTGCCGCGTTCGTCATTTGCATGTCGCTATGAAATGCCAAGCGAGGAGGCAATGTAATGTAAAAATCAAGAATGCTCGTTGTATTGGGCTATGTTACACCAAGTTCACAAGTCAAATAGTATCTCGTAGATTTTTTTAATATAGAGGCATAGATATTTAGAACTTATTAGCTTTTGTCCCTTTCAGGTGATTCCGGAGGACCGCTTATAGTTTTAGACGGCGGTCGTTACTACCTAGTTGGAATCACATCAGCGGGATTTGGGTGCGGTGTTGACCATCAGCCCGGCATCTACCACAATGTCAAGGTCACCGCGGGTTGGATCAAAGGCGTTATATCACCATCTATCAACTACATCGACTTTTAATTCGAACTAAAGCGACATTTGATAATAAAAATATATTCAAAATTAGACAAGTTCTTTAGGCTGCAATGAAATGGTCCTAATACTTTGACGGTGTGCATTATATTGTAAAATGAGTGTTACAGTTATGGGTCATTAGCATAACTACTAATTAAATACAATTCATTACACAAGGTCGTCCATTGAACAGATTTGGCAACGTATTTGCAATTGCGGATATATATGGGCAGCGATTGCTTCGCTATTACGCGTTCAAGCCGCTTGCTCGTTTGTCACCTTATAATATATTTAAAAAAAACAATTTGGTATGAAGCCTAAGATTACATTAAATGACAAACTATACTGACAGTACTATATGTTAAGTTGGAACTTAGATAGGCTGTGAGATGACGAATTGGTACAAGTCAAAGTGCAAATATACATTTTTTTAATTATTTGGATATGTTAATAATAAGAATGTAATAATAAGAATATTTTAATTATAATAGAGAAAATTACACTTTTAAAGTACATGAATTATAAAAGCTATACATTTTGTGTACCTGTATTTGTTTTTTAGATTTTACTATAAAAGGAACGACTATGCTTATATACCACTGTTCCTTTTTTTTTAATATATTAAAACTTCGCTAATTTGATCTCCTGTAATTTATACTACTTATTTATGACTTATGTTGTCATAGAAATGTTACATAATTAAAAAAATATTAAAGATTTGTCTTATAATTTATTATCTAACGACTAAACAACTAGCGACTTTTGAGTTACTTATTTTCCTAAACAATAGAAACGATTCGTATAGCAAATTTCAGATGTTTCTGTCCTTCAAATTTACGCAGCGAAATATCTACATATTTTATTATCTTATTAATATTATAAATGCGAAAGTTTAGATGAATGGATAGAGGGATGTTTGTTAGAAAGTATCTCCGGAATGGCTCAACAGATCTTGACGAAATTTGGCATTGACAGAGGACATAGTCTGGAAGAACACATAGGCTACTAATTAAGTGTTTTTATTCCCCGTGGACTGAGTCGCGGATAACAGCTATCACAAATATGAGAAGCAGTCCCTCGTGAAAGATGCCGGTAGGATCTATCAAAAGAAGCACTATTCGAAAATTAGGTGTAGCACCCCTTTATTACTCAGAACGCTTAGTAATATAATTTCTGGTTGATTTATTTTTGATAATTTCGTTGAGTCATATAGACTGGACCTTAACGTCTCCTACAAACAGGAAAAATCACTTTCAATATTAAATGGACATGGATCTCCTATAATATAACCTGTTCTTATCGATATGAGTATCAATTGAAACCTTAAGCTAATCACATACGATTCATTTTACATTAACACACCAGTCAGACTGATTAAACAACCTTAATAAATTATCAGTAAGGGAATTGAAACCTTAATTGTTGTAATTAAAGTGCATATTAGAGTGGTGATCGCGCAACGGTACCCAAGCGAAACGAGCCAACACAAATGTCAAGCATCCACACCACAGTCGCTTAGAATGTCGCGACGAAGCGACGTACATTTCTAAAATAATAGTTTTTATAATTAAAACTTTCTTTTATTCTATTTTCTATCATAGTGGACAGTTTTTTTTAATTAATTATAATGGTGAAATTATTATGGATTGCATTTCTAATTGGAATGGTGTCCGTTTTGGATGGACAGACCTTGGGCGGTAAGTGAAAGGCATTTTGTATGCATGTTTATACTATCCTATTACATATATTATGAACATAACAATGCTTAGGCATTTTTTGTTTCCTAATGGAAAGTTGAAAGTGCCTAACTGTCTAGATGTTCGGCGTCTGTTGTGAAATAGAAGAATAGCTATTTCAAAACTAACGGCAACGGTCCACTAAGGTTATGTATTATGAATAGATCTTAGAAGAACACAATTCTTTCAGTTCAATATTGAATAGAATACAAAAAACTTTATTTAAATTATCTCTCGCAATAAATCGTATTTTTATAAATACATTTTGCTATAATAGTAAAATCGATATTGTGTTGTTAGTTTTTAAAATCCTTCAATTCTCAAGTATGACAAAATATGCATCGAATTTTTTCAAGGACAATTATGTACTTCAATTAACTCGAACAAGATAGTATGGTCAGATGCTTTATATTTATTATTCTTAAATATCAATTTTAATGCCCCCATAATCAATTCCTGACTACGAGTTTTAAGCTTAAAAAACTTATTTATGCTACGTTAAATTTATTGAAATTTGTCTGTTTCATTTACCTGTTAAAATAATCGTGATCAACTCAATGTCAACCTTAATTTTTTGCAATAACTTTCAAATAAGACTAAGAACAAAATATATCTTACAAACACGTAATATTTTGATCGACTTACGGTTTGTTCCTGAGATTAAAATATCTGTATAAAAATATCGTCATCCCTGTCATTAGCTTTGAAAAAAAGAGACAATAATATGTTTTAAACGGAGTTTTCAGTCTCAGAAACCCACGCTAAATTAGATACTTTTATAATCTCAAATACAGTAAATACAAAATGCATTTAAAGTTTTTCGTCTTCAAATTCGTACAATATATTGGACTTAATAAACTTTGGTTCGAATATTTCATTCACGATAATAAAATTAAATCTTAACATTAAAAAGCTCAAAACTACAGTATTATTAACATAGGTGCGTCACTTTGTAGATCACAACAGCGTTCTTTGTGTTCCTTTACATATTACATACATAACAACGCTATATTAAGAACGGAAAACTTTCATACAAATAAGTCTATTTACATGACACAAGGGTTCCTGATATGTTTGCTAAGGAATTTAAAAATAACAAGAAGTATATTAAAAAGTTTTTACACATCGAAACAAAGGAGAAGAGACATTAAAAAGAGAAAAATTATGATAAAATTAGCAAAAGCAATAAAAAAGGAGATCGTAACGCCAAAAATATTAGACGATTATTTGATAAAACTAAGCACAGTCTGTGTAGAAAACTTTTTTTTTTGAACTCCTTTCTTACAGGATATTTCGTGATTCAAAGCATATGGTTCAATGAATTTAAAACTATAGAGGAACAATCAATGTATGTAGGTCCATATATAGATGGAAATAATAAAACTATTAAAACTACTATTTAAATTTTAATCAACTTAAAGCGACACATAACAAAAATGATACCATAACGGTATTAAATCGTTACTTACAAATTCATTAAATTCTTTTTAATAAAAATTGCAGAATTGTTAAACTAATGACGCTATAACTTTAACAATAATATGCCTTAATTAATTCTATTAATAATTAATAAATTGTAACGGTTTTCATTAATAATTAGAGTGTCATCAATTTTGTAAATCTTATTAATATTATAAATGCAAATGTTTAGATGGATGGATGTTTGTTTGAAGGTATCTTTAGAACGGCTGAAGAACACATAGTCAACTAATTATGTGTTTTTAATTCCGCGCGGACGGAGGCGCGGGCGACAACTAGTATATTATAAATAGATAGATTTTTTCAGGTTAAATTTTTTTAATTAAGGAGCAAACATAGAACGTTACTTCTACTATGCGCGTTCTATACTATTTGATTATTTTCTACCAAACAATATAACAAAAACAATCCACTGAAGTGAACTAAAACTAGAATTGTTTTGCGACATTCGTGAGAAAAAGTAACATTGCAAAAACGAACTTGAAACACTTTTGTTGCACATTTCTTAAAGTTGAATGTTAAAATATACCAATAATAAAATGAACTGGTTGGTGCGAGAAATATTTAAAAATAACCTGAATATAATCAACAGTGAAAAACAGATAAAAATTATTAATATAACTACTTTTATATTCGCATTAAGTTGGTGACCAAAAGAGATAATAAGTGAAGAATTACTATAAATAATTTACACTAAACTGTTTAAATAATCATTAAAAGACTATGGCAGTTAGTCAAATTCAAAAATGACGCAATAACAAAATAACTCTGTTACAACGCAGAGACAAAGTTCGTTACCATGTTAGTACGTGACTTGCTTACACATCACACCTCAATTTTGAAATACATCGTACCTGCCTGCACTCATCATGGATATGAAATGGTATACATGGTGAAAATATTGCCATCCTTTTTATACTTTGTGAAAATAGCAGAGATAGCAATAAATTTTCTATTGGAATAAACCGATTATTAACATTGTTTGCATAGAAGGGAATATGACACTAACAACATACCTCTATTTTATTCCTGTATCTAAAAAAGTCAAAATTAAAAATAAAATGTATGTCTATATTATAATATAAGCAGCTAATCAATTTTCATATTCTTTGGTCAAGTAATAAATAATATTTAGGATTCATAAATCAATTAACATTCCTAAGTACTCGTTAATTTATATAAGATACTTAAACGGCGCGGTTTCTTTTATTAATTCTGTTTATTTCAAGTACTAGTACTTATAATTTTAAAGCACTTGGAATTTCTTAAAAGATATTTATTGAGGATGGTTGTGATAATCATATCATGATCAATATCATCGTATAATCATGTCTGATAAATGTTTATCCTCAATTGACTTTTTTAAGATACGTTTATGCATTTATAAAGATATCTTATAAGCTTCAATTCTTAATTAAATAATAAATTTTAAATGAATAGCAATGCCTCTAGAGCTTTTTTTTATCGTGAGGAAATGCCTTTCGCATACCATCCTTGCGGGGACAAAGGTGGTTATGTCGGGCTTGCACCGATAAAACCCCACGGCGGTCGCCACCGATGCTTACGAGGGGGGAGGCGGGATCTCCGTTCGGAACACAACCGCCACCCTCCAACGCCTAGCTAGGTCTTTTTGGTCCAGCTCCTTTATTTTTTTATGCCTCTAGAGGCTCAGCAGCAGCTCCGCAGCTCTAGATGTATATTGGCGTCATTGATCACCTCGGTGTTCCCATCGTTTGTTTACCTCCTTCTCATATATAAAAAAACGCATGTAAAACGTTTCTTTTTGCAATAAATTTGAATAAAAAACCTTTCTAATATTTACTGACTTATCTTCGAGCATTATTACATTTAATAAGTTTAGTTCGAATCAAAACGCAAAATAAAAAATAAATTTTAAAACAATATACAATTACTAATATAACCTCTAAAATACGAAAAAAATGGTCGATTTTCACATCTTCAACATAGTAAGTTTTACTAAATTTACGTGTAGAATATTTAGTCGTATCTAAAATTCAAGGTGAACGGGTTCTAACGACTTTTAACGGCTGTATAAAATGCCATATGAGTTTGTTTACATGCTTACATAACCTAAAACTTAACAGAACAAATAATAAAACTTACCTTTAATTCGTGATGTGATCTTCTTATACAATTGTATTCAAGGAAGATTGTTCATCACTTAATTTTCAAAAACATTTTTGTGATACGCGAATGGAACTAAATAAAAAGCATTTTTACATTTACATAAAACGACACGTCAAATGAAACCAAGTTTATTTTTACAAAACACTACACTTTGAAGTTTACTTTGCCGTTACAATTATATTAAATTTACGGAATAATACGCAGTTTTTAAGTTCATATTCCGATTTCGAATATTTATCAAAAGTCAAGGTCACGGGAGTGATTTACGTCAAATACTTTCCAATGTCATAATTGCAAAGTACCCTCAGTATAATAATTATTTTTGTTCCGATATACGCAAATTTATGTAAACAACTTTATGAAGCGATGGTATTTTCCTAAGATTTGTGATTTGTTTAATTTAAATTAATGATTTTTTTAAAGTTAATAACTGACCGCACATTTTTTATAGCGTCAATCAAAAAAGCGTGCATTGGTAAATAATTACAATGTTACTAATTACTTTACTAATATTATAAATGCGAAAGTTTAGAAGGATGGATGGATGTTTGTTTGAAGGTATCTCCGAAACGACTAAACGGATCTTTATGAAAGTTTGCACAGATGTAGAACATAGTCTGGAAGAACATATAAATACTTTTAAGTTTGTTTAATTTCGCGCGAACGGAATCGCAGACGACAGCTAGTAGTGTGTCATAATTTACCTAAATATTATGCGGCATTTTTCAATATGTTATTTTTGTCCACATAAACTGCTAAAAGAATAACAGTACTTATGGAAACAGTTCTACAATTTCACGCTCGTGATCTTTTTATACTCGGCTGATTGTAAACAATTGTTTATGTCGGTTATTAATGTCACGCCATCTTTAAAAGTAAAGTATGGCATACTTTCGTATGTACAAAAACTTTCTCGTAAAATTACATCAAATACTTATACTTAAAAACCAAAAACCCTTCAAAGTACCATAGGCTTCCACTGAAATATATTCACATACTGTCTTCCCTCTTATTTGCTTTGCGAAAGTAAACGTAACAATATATTTAAATCCACATTATTGGCAGTGTAATCCCACGATTATATTAATTGTTACTTAATGTCTTGCCGCATTGTAAACCCATGTTCTACATGCAGATGCGGTATAGTCCCTCTGGTACGGCTTGTTAATGAGGTATATTTTATTATATTTACAGGTCCAATGCATGGTAAAGTTGTAGTCTGCTACATCGGTACGTGGGCGACATACCGCCCGGGCGATGGTCAGTTCGACCTGGAACATCTGGAGCCCTCACTATGTACACACATCGTCTACTCCTTCGCAGGACTCGATGAGACTACGTTGGGAATAAAGAGTTTAGGTTAGTATACTAATAGTACAGGACGCCGCTTGTGTTGGCACATAAAGCTCACTTGTACTCTAGTTTATGACGTGCCAATTCTAAAGCTAAAAATAAATAAGTGTTTTTGTAAACTAATTTTTAAGTAAGGAATCAACAAACTATATAAAAACAAAATTGATGCCACTTGTAACTGGCTTTGTTACTTCGGAACAAATTATGAACAATATACCTTTATGATTTTTTTCTATAATAGATACTTGGCATGACTTGGAAAAGAACAACGGCAGTTCTGGCTACCGAGGCCTTGTGGCGCTGAAAAGACGCTACCCACATCTCAAGGTCACCATTGCTATCGGTGGCTGGAATGAGGGCTCTAGAAAGTTCTCTACAATGGCAGAAACAGTAGAGAATAGAGCCAAGTTTATTAAGAGTGTTCTCGTCTTTCTTGAGTAAGCTGTAATTTAGTTATACTTTTTTCCTATACTCATAGAGGGATATATATTGGATATGTACTGGAAAAATAATTAAAAAAACATAACTAAATCGATTAACATTAACCTTACAAATACTGACAGTCCTAACAAAGTTATTTTGGTAGGAACTACTGAACAAAAACGTGTTTTGTGGCAGAAGACATCAATTCCAAACCCACTTTAATTCGTAATTTAAAATTAAATGAAGTTATTAATATTCTCAAATATTGCTATTTATTTTGCATATCTGATGTTATTTGTTTTATATTCCAGCGTATATAAATTTGATGGACTCGACTTGGACTGGGAGTACCCGGCGAAGAGAGACGGCAGGTCTATTGATAGAGCAAACTTTGTGTTACTAGTAAAGGTAAAATAAATCCAATATGCCAATAAATGTAGACCAGACCACATTTTTGTATACATTTATTAAATTCGACACCAGAATAGAAGGCTCGATTGTTATTAATGTATGTCAACTCTGCTTAGCGTGGGTTTCTGACACAAATATCTCTGTATAAAACATATCATCATCCCTGTCATCATCTTTAACAATAAGGGAGACCACAGTGTATTTTAAATGGAGATTTTGGTCTCAGAAAACCATATTAGCGTAACCTAAACCAAACTTATAATACTTCCTTAAAAAGAACTACTTGTTTTTATCAATCTGACAGAGGAGATGCGGCAATCGAGTTGTATTTAATCCCAGAGTATTACTGCGATTTGAGATATTTTTAAAATCATATACAGCTTGCTTAATTTATTTATGAACACAACATCGAAAAGCGTTTCTTTATTTAAATATATTTCATTCTTAACTTAAATAATTTTTAGGAATTGAAAGAAGCTTTCGAGTCCAAAGGCTACTTACTGACAGCAGCACTCGGTGCGGGCAAAGAAACAATGGACGCAGCATACGATATGCACAAATTAAGTCGTTACCTTGATTTCATTCACATGATGTGTTACGACTATCACGGCACATGGGACGGTGTGGTTGGAGCTAACGCACCGCTTAGAGGCACTAGCGATGACGATGTACTTAGTGTGGTAAGTTGGAACTAAGTTACTTTGCTAGTGTTTATCTAGTGGGTAACGGAACTTTATGACTATAGTGCTAATTTAATGTATTTATTAAAATTTGTTACTTTGATGTACAAAATAGGTAATTTTAAGTTATTTTTTTTTATAAAAAGTATGCATGGGTTTTTGTGTAAGAGAATATGTATAAGAAGGGAGTGAATTCAGATATTACGGCTGATAGAGGTACATGGCAGAGAAATGCATACTGTGCCAACCCTCAAAAGGGACAAGGGAAGGTCAATGATGAAAATATACTTTTACTGCTTTACTTTAAACGAGGAAGATTTTGAGTAAATTTTTTTTAAGGACTTTTTCTTCTAATTACAGGAATACACTATTAAATACTTGTTAGAGAACGGTGTCAGTCCTTACAAAATGGTTCTCGGAGTGCCATTGTATGGCCGTACCTTTATACTCAATGATGATGCACAAGATATTGAATTTGGACGTACGCCTGTCATGCAAACTGGTTTCAAAGGACCGTATACAAGGGAGGCTGGCTTCATGGGATACAACGAGGTAATGTACAATCAAGGACATTATTTTCCTACCCATTTCCGTAATTTCATTGGACATTAATAACGTAATTAGAACAAAAACTTGTCACAGCAATACATAAAAGCTTAATAACGAATGTTATGGTTACAGATTTCTGTAAGACATTCGTTCCTATGTGGGAAGCAAATTTAATTCTTTGACAACACTTCTTTTCTATTACGAAAAAGGAACATATAAAGTGTTAAACCGTTTAAATGCTACTCAATGAGAATTAAATATTTTAAACAATTAATTATTTACAGATTTGTATGGAAATAACGAATAAGTCATCAAAATGGACCCACCATTGGCACGATCAATCCGCCACTCCGTACTTACGCGACGGCAAACGAATAATTACTTATGACAATACAAGATCCATAGCTATTAAAGTCAAGTGAGTAAATTCAATTTAAAAAATAATCAGTAGTAAGAGTATTAAACACTTTCTTACCCGCGGTCACTCTTGATATCATTGCTAAATATTATGTTAACAATATAAACGATGTGGCCTTCAAGAAAAAAGCATACATCTCCCTAAAAGGCGGGCATCGTATCTGAAGTTTCTCTGGTGTAGCGTCATTGGACGTCGGATAAAATATTCGATCCGCTGCTCTTTTACATCCTTCTCTTATAAAAGAAACGGAAAGATGAAATATTTTTTGCGATGTAATTAAAATAAAATAACAAACCGAAGTAATAATAAGATAGAGATTTTTAATAAAGTACGTGATAAAGTTAATTCGTATTGTTTCAGAACTGCCATGGAGTACAACCTGGGCGGCATCATGGTGTGGAGTATCGATACTGACGACTTCAGAGGCTTGTGCGAGAAAGACAGAGAAACTGAGACGTATCATGAATTCGTGCAATCTTACAACCGAATAGTCGACGACCCGCTTATGAAGAAGGCTTTGAAATCTCTCAATCTTCCAGATGGTGAGATGTTTAATACATTCATGTTCAGTAGAAAATTACCTAATAAAATCTATCAGAGATCATAACCAATAAGGTTTTTTTTTTATTTTTTTATATATCAAACATTTTTTTATATATGTACTAACTGGCGCCTTAATTAGTACATAGTAGCCTATGTGTTCTTCCAGGCCATGTACCACATCCATAATTAAACGAGATCCATTTAGCCAATACAGAGTGATAACTTCTAACAAACATCCGTCTATCCATCTAAACTTTCGCAGTTATAATATTTGTAATATTATATGAAATTTTATTGTAATATTATATAAGATATTTATTTTACAGCTGGTCGCATCGAAAATTTGAGTCGACAAAGAGCATACGTGCTATCAAACAATAAACTCCAGTTACGTCTTCCAGCTCCGCAGTACTCCAACTACGCTCTAATGCATGCTATCAATGATGCCACTACTCTAGCTCTAGAAGAGAAGAGAATATTAGATGAAATGAACAGAGTTATGAAGCAAAATGAAATACCCGATGAACCGGATTCTGCCAGTCACCTAAGTATAAGTTTATTAAGTGTGATATGTTGCATTACATTCTTGTTAGCGTTATAATTATAATGTGACATAATTTTATTCTTGTATAAAGGTTTATTAAATTTAGCTGAAGAGTTGATCCGCTTCGGTATTTACAATTGAAATTAGGTGATATGCTTTACATTGCATCAGTGACTTTCTTACAAGTAAATACCATATTTTCTACGTTTTTTACAGCTTGAAATATTTTATAAATTTAACTGACTTTCAATATTTTATAATTTATTTATAGAAACTCATTATTTTCTTTTAATAATTAATAATAATGTTTTGTTAATTCCAATGTCCTCATTAATTATTAAAAGTAATAAAAACTATAAATGAAATAATTTTAACCGTAAATGTTTTGTTTTAGAAGTTATACGCATTATTCAATTAGCCGAGAAGCGGTTAGCCGCAGCCAAAATTATGAATGAAAAAAAAATTAAATTTGGATGAAAAAAAAATTGGATGAAAAAGTAATTAAATTTGGATGAAAAAAAAAATTCGATGAAAAAAGTAATTAAATTTGGATGAAAAAATAATTAAATTTGGATGAAAAAAATATTTTATTCACCCTAAAACGCTCACTATACGGAACGTAACGTATAGTGAGAGGCTCGGAGCCTACTCTAAGTTAGGGGTGACGCCTACAACGCGGCCGATGAAACACTTGTCGCTTGTAGCGAAAAACATATACATCTAATATATAAGTTACGTATATGTGTTTCGTGACGATATGATTATAATAAATATAAATTTAGTCACAAGATTTAATTGAATATGAAGTGTATTGACTATTTTATAGAGCTTAGTAATAGTTCCATCCATAACTTGTCCATTATGTTTTTATAAATATATAATATTTTGTATGAAATTAAAATGTTTTAAAGAATATAAGAGTACAATAGAATAAATAAAAATTATTATTAAAAATGAAATACTCGGTTTTGTGATAACTTTTAATAAATTACTGAAGAAAAAATTCTTTTTATTTGTTCCGATTCAATAACTAACATTAACTGCATGTTTTTTTATTCAAATAGTTTATAAATCTTCATACGGAGATCCACAGCGGACGTTATAAAAGTGATCACACACCTGAAAATAAATACAGATAATTAAATATCTCTATTTCTCATAAGGAATTTTCTGTACAAAACATAACACCTACAATGCTACTTTAGTCTTCACATATTGAGCTGGAAAAGCGAGTTGCTGGCACTGAATGTGGTAAGAAGTAAAAATATGTTACAAACTAAGTTTGGTTTAAACATAACATTCATCCGGAATCAACTTACCTGAAATTGTTCATTAAATAATGTTCCATTGGTACACAGTTCTGTGCTTATCACACGACGGTGCCAGCAGAAATGAAAAGCCTGAGGATCAACGCAATAACATGATATGTCATTGTTTTTAAATATGTAATATAATTAAATGAAAGAATATTCTATAAACGATAGAGATAGCTCAGGGTTGGCGACAGGTGTCCGGCTGTAAAAAGTTAAGCCAAAACCTTGAAGTTTATAAAACCTTGTGCGCCAACCCTACATGACTGGGATAAGACCAGAGATGCTGATGATAGAGTCAACATAAATCATTAACATATTAATAATATAATAATTAAAGAACTTTTATAATTTAAATATGTTTTCTTCTTAATGAAACTTTATCAGTATTATAACGACAATAGTGACATAAATTGTTGAATTGTTTTGTCTATTTTATATTATTTTGTGCAAGTCTTTAATAAAAATTAGATTAGTAGAATTAAAAAAAATATAACCTGGCAACCAGATTGAACATCTGCGTAGTATCCGATAGTTCTACCAGAACAGCTGAATTGAGTTGGAGGCGGTTGAGCGAACACGGGGTACAGCGGCGGGTCGTGGGGTAAATGCAGGTCGTGGTAGTAATCGTATTGTTGGCCAGTAGATGTCGCGACCAGCGCTGCAAATAAAGTTACAGTTACGCATTATAAAGTGAACTCAACATCATCATCAGCCAAAGATATCCATAGCCAACTGTGGGGTTCATCACAAAACTACCACTGCAAGGTGGCATTCACGATGATCCATAAGGAAAATACTAAAACTTTAGACTCTAAAAGTTATTTAGAGTTGCGATTTTTTTTTTAAAACACCACCGAAACTATAGATTGCAAATATATCTAATACCTCAAAAAGCGATAAAAGCTTTTTAAAGTTACATTTCAATATACTTACTTAAGAATATTAATAGTTTAAAACATAAATAAAAATTTAAAACTTATAAGAACATTTAAAAGACAGCTTTAAAAAAATCTGCTGGTTTTTCTTTTGCGTAAAAATTACTGACAAAATTGCAAATTGCACTTAATTATAAAACATTTCCACTTACCGAAATATAACATTACCATACACTTAAACATTTTATTATTAATACAATTTAATTTAAAACAAAACTTAAAATAATTTATAAAAATAAAATATAATAAATAGAAGACACGCTAGCGGGTAGCTAGCGAGTGACCCGGGCGCAAGTTATCGCGTCAGTAACTAGGAATTACCATCGCGATTTAGAGTGCGCAAGTAATAGTACATGGACAGAAAAAGGCATATACATATGTTGCTATGAAGTACATTAATTTTAAAACATAAATCACATATCAGCATTCCGATCAATAGAAGTTACATTTGATTACGGATTCATGAAAAAGAATACTTTTATTTATTTATATAAGTACGAGTAAACTATATATTTCTACTGTTTATGTCATGTAAAAATTTATAAATTATGTTGTGTTTGTATTAGTTTCCAATTAAACTTTTTTACAAAAGACATCAACGCACTGTCACAATTATGTGACATTTAAGTTAAATAGAAACGCGTCGATGTCTTTTTCTTGACAAAAACTATCGCTACAAAATATTTTAATTTCGAATATCACTTTGAATAAGCTAGCGTCATGTGCATCAGATCTTCGGTTAAAATAGTTTCGTGATCTAATTCAGAACTTGGATGAGCTACAAAAAAAATTCAAAGGTTTAACGTTCAGGAACTATCAAAAGGTGAAGGATTAATTATCACGATTTGTCCGTATCATATCACGACTTTTTGAAATATGTATCATCATTTTAACATTTAAAAAACATAATTATATGTTTAACACAAAATGTGTTCAAAATACATAGTGTAATTGAATAAGCAAATAGGCCACAAAGAAGTTAGGCTTCTATTGCATTACTCCACAACCGACACATCTTCTCTGTTCCTTGTGGATGTTCATGAACTATAATAGTGTGCAGAAATTTGCGTAAAGATAAGTTCTTTGCATTTGAAAAGTTTAAAAAAAAGTCTATTATCCATTTTAGAAAATAATGCACAATCAACTGACCTCAAAAATCATTCTAATTTCAAAACTTGACAGTTGAAGTGTAAAATTCAAAAACTTCAATTCTGAACATCGGAATTCGACCTCGATCAATCACGGGTGGTCATTGGTGCAGGCGCCACTCACTTGAGTCTTAAAAAACCACTGATCCAATCTGGTCTGTGGTTCCGCACTACTTTTTATATTAAGAAGATTATTTAAAAAGTTTTAATGTAAATACATAGGGTAAAGTCACACATGTAGTAAAGAGTTTTGCATATTATGACTCAATGATAGGGGAAAATATATATTGGAAATTGTGTAAATTTTTAACATAACTTAAACTTTCTTCAGTCATTTTACGTTTAAATGCCATATTTTTGTAGTTTTTATTATACTTTGTTGTAATAGCTAAAGCATTGACTTCATAACTTTAAGTATAAAATATAAACTTTTAAAAACCAGTACTAATTACTAGTCCATAAATAAAGCATTAAGCACTAATTGGTAACTTGACAAGGCATTACCCCGTCAGTTGAGTGAAATGTAACACCTACACATCTTGCGCCACTGCTTCGGGGAGGTCAGGGTATCGCATGTTCATATAACACTAGGTATTTATTACTGCAATTATATATTAAATGTAGACAAAACCTATCATATAATGGTAAATAGTATTTTATTGGTAGTTTAAAACATTAAGCGATTATAATTGGTATATTTTGTGACTTTTTATCATAATAATTAAATTTTCTTAAAAATATTATAATACATACACATAAAGATCCTCGTTTATGGGATTTACTAGTCGCGTACGGACGGCAACACCGCTAACTTAGGGTGAACTCCGAGCCCCACAGTGGGGACGTATGTATAGTGAGCTGATGATATACGGGCAAAGATTTTTAAAAGTTTTTCATCTTTTACCTCTAATATTAAAATTAATTCGAGAACAAATAATTAAAGATACGAACTCAGTAAATATTTACTTAATGTCAAAACATTAAGGTTTATCCTTCAAGATACAAAAGTAAAGGGACCTTCGTCAATGTCAACCTTCCATTGTTTCGCTTTAAACGATGATTAATTACGTCGACAGTCAAAATATAAATGATACATGTGTTTGACCTACGAAAGATTATTATCGTTTAAACTGTAACAATCAATAAGTTAAAAAGAACATAGATATATTAAAATACAGAATATAAATAATATAAGTTTTTATCAAACCAGTTGGAGAAAATCTTTCATATTTCAAATTATTGCTATGTACAAAATATTTTATACCGTGATAATGCCGAAATCTTTTTAACGATTAATATTAAAATTTTAATTATCAATAAAACATATTGAACTCTTTCATCTGTGTCTTTATTGGTTTCAGTCTTGAATCTATTTATTAATTTGTGCAACAACCTTAGAGTGATATCGATCTACTGTTTCTAAAAAAGGAGATTGCAACAAACACCTTCAGAATTCCCTTCTCTACTTCCGTTACGCGAAGTTTATAAGTTGTAAGACGTTTATGTCATTGTAAGTTATCGTTTAAGCTTTCGTTGTGGTATAGGTTCTAATTCTAATTAATTATGAAGTTCCTTTTATTCTTATATAAAATCATACTTACGTTCCGGCAGTACTGATCCAATATTTTTATCTTACATAGATTAAGAATAGGTCTGATAAAGAAATTCATAAAACATGTCGTAGCCAAATCTATGTAACCACGGTCCACATTTATCAAACTGATCTAATTGGTATCAAACGATTAAAGAGCGTGGACAAAACCTGTAATAAAAACGATATACAATATATTATCCACTTATCTCTAGGATATAAGTATACAAAAATCGAGAGCAAGCGATCGATCAAACACAACGCAACCTCCGCTGGACACTTCAATGTCGGAGCTATATCGTATTTCGCTAATAACCAGAGGACCTAGGAACTAGGTATAAGTATGGTAAAAGCATCAAATTACAAATTTACCAGACCTACAGTCGCACTTATAAATAGAAAATAAATGACCCTACATAAAGTAAAGTCTTATAAATCCACCCAATCCTAGTTTTTAATAATTAACACAGTTCCCACGCAAGTTTATGAAAAATCGAATCGAAAGCTCGCAACGACTACGACGCAGTGAAGTCATTAAGAATTGTAATGTTTTATTAAAAGTTGTAAGATAAGATTTCAGGTGATAAAAACCACATTAAAAATCTAAAAGATATTAAACCTAACAGGCGTCCTGTCAAATGTTAATTAAACCGATACGAGATATGTGCTAAGGAGGTCATTTCCAACAGGCTGTCAGTGTCCGCGTAAGTGCACAAAAAGTAACATACCAAGAATGAAGAAACTAGAACATACTTCCACTTAAGACATGCGACCTTAAGGTCACGGACAAATAAAAGAATTAGTACAATATTATAACAATTAAGACATCAACGCCAACCGTTAATTAGCAGTTAATTTGTGCTTTAAAAGTCGAAATCGATTAAATTTCGCTATTGTTGCAAAAAGCGAAGAACTTTAACACGACCGAGTCTTAATACAATTCAAATTAAAAATATATTAAAACCGTATTAACATACAGTACACTTTACACTATTAAGTCATATTATAGATTAGGTATGAGTTCTCTAGTGCGTTAAAACAATTTAAAAATTGTTGAATGCTGGCAACGTGTGTTTATACATGGAGAGGATCCATAGAAGTTGCTTAAGGTATAAAAATATTTAGAAAGGCTAGGATTTTTGCTTACACCAAAACCTAAATTCTCACTGTCATTTATGTCACTGTCACTCAATAACGTGACATTTTTGACATTTCACGACATAATTGTTCACTATAATTTAAGGTTATTTTGTTAAACAAAAAATGTAAATAAGACCGCAAAATGCCCTTAATTATAATATGTGGAACACCAGTAAGTGGTAAAACAACTAGAGCAAAGGAACTCAAAGAATTTTTCGAGCAAAAACATGGGAAACGTGTTGAGATTATATCTGAAGAAGAAGCAATAATAATTTTAGGATATGAAAAAAACTCCACGTACTTGGATTCACAGAAAGAGAAAAGAGTTAGAGGACATCTAAAGTCAGAGGTTATTAGACTAATAGGCAAAGACAGTGTTGTTATTTTGGATGGAAGCAATTATATCAAAGGTAAAGCAAAATATTTCACTTTTGAATTAATAAACTATAGTCTGCAACCAATAGTTATTGACATAATAACATTTATTCTGATAATTATTAATCAATTTATTACTACTAATGACATTTTTATTTAAGGTTATCGCTATGAACTTTATTGTGCATCAAAGGCATGTAAATCAACACAGTGCACCATTTATACTATACGTAATCATGATGAAGCATGGGAAGATAATAAGAACATGTTAAATAATGCTAATATAAATGAAAACATTGATGTACCAAGAAATAATAGTCCACTAAACAAGCAGCCAGTAGCGTATACTGAAGAAGTATTCAATGCATTGACTAAATTTAGGTGAGTTTCCATATTTTTTTTATTTTTAATAGAGTAATATTTCCTGCCTGTAACTTGATGCATGTATGAAATAATGTTATTGTATATAACCTTCTTTGTAACTTTGTAAGTCTTATGATTGGAACATATTTTAATTACATATTTGAATGACAAAGTATGATAACTTGAATATTTTATTTTTTCAGATTTGAAGAACCAAACTCAAACCACAGATGGGATAGTCCACTGTTTACTGTACAGCCAAGTGACAATCTTGATTTAGATGCTATTTATAGTGTTCTATTTGAAAAGAAGCCACCTCCGCCAAATATGAGCACACAAAATGTAACTTTACTATTATTTCATGAAGTGCCAAAATTCATTAACACATTCAATGCCACTATGATTTTCACATACTAAATAGATGCAGGCCTTGGCATTTAATGTGTTCAATATTTATTTTCTAGCTGCTCCTTTACCATGCTATGTCATGTTCATAACTATGACCTAATTTTGAATATAATAAGCAAATGTTTTCTTACAGCCACCACTCAGTGCCACAAACTTCCTCTATGAATTGGACAAAGTTACACAATCAATATCGAAACAGATTTTAGATGCCAAACAACTGAATATGGATGAGGTAAGATTCCCTGACTATCCAGGCTGCTCATTAGAAGCTGGATTTATCCAAAATATTAATCCTCAGAAACTATTGAGATTTAGAAGACAATTCTTAACATATGCCAAGATGAATCATTCAAATGAAGAGACAAATAAAATTGGAAGATATTTTATACAATATTTAAATAAAACACTTACAGATTAATATCTTATTTATTTTATAAACTGTATACAACTTTAGCTTAAACATATTGACAAATTTTGACGTGTTATTATATGGATAGTCAGTCAGTTCCCGTGACTTTTGCTTGGATACCTAGCAATCACATGCAGATTTAATATAAGTTATGTTACACGTACAATATGTGCCAGTCATGGCGTTTTAATAACCATAGACTATGTTTCCCAATGTTTAAATGTCTTTTATGAAAACAGACAATTTAGTTAATAATAATAGTGGTGATACCATATGTATATACAACATTTGTATTCCCAGTCTAAATCTACAATGAATGTGGTATGTATGGTAAAAATAACCAAGAATTGACCATTTTTAAATGACATGTACTTTTATATGAATCTATAGTTTATATATCACAGGCTAGGCCACAAACTAAACGGATTCTAATCACAGATTTGAGATCTTTATCCCATACCTCAGAGGTAAAGAAATATTGTCCAACCTAGATAAAACTCCAAATATTCCTACAAACAATGAAATATAGACATATCAATATCTATGACATTTATTTCAGCAATGATTACACAATAAAATTAAAAAAAAATCAATTTATTAGAGCCACTCGCACGTGATTGGCTATGCATACGTCACGTGGTTATCGACGATTGTGATTGGCTCTGCATAGTCACGTGGTTTTCGACAGATGTGATTGACTGTTTTACAGAATTTTTAACCAATACGTTTACTGCAAAAATAACCAATTCAGACTGATTAACATTCTTAATATGGGTACTTTAATTATACTTAAATACAATCTTTTTGTAACTATTCTTAATGTTTTGAGTAATGTTTACAAGCAAACAAATATTAATAAATGTAGAAAAGAAAAAAATAAAAAGTATAAAAAGATTACAGCCTATTTAATGCCCAGATGGGAGCACTTTTTAAAGACATCTATACATCGCACAAATCTTTTTGAGCCTCAAAAAAATCAGTTCTAATTGGCACACAGATTAGTCGTTATTGGAGCACCTACATATAATATCTTGTAACAGTTTAAACAGGCATATTTGGAATACCCAAAAAGATTTGAGTACAACTGTTCTTACAAACCAAAATACTGCATTCATATCTCACCTGTTGATATAACATTTAAACACGTAGTAAACTAAAAGACTTAAATCTCAATGTAATGTGACTTGTATCTTATGACAATAATAATAAAGAGCATGTTGGTACAAACACTTGCAATACTGTTAGAGAACGTTTAAACACCAAAAGGCTTCTTGCAAACAAAGAAAACAGAGTCATATTCATGTTGCATCATTGAATTGGGGTTTTGTGCGTATTTCGTCTTCACCCCGGTACGCTCTTGCTGCAATATTAATAATGATTTTTTTAATATGAAAACATACTAAAATATTATTTATAAAGATAATTTGTAGCACTTACCAATATCTCAAATCCTACATCTCTAATAATGTCCAATAGGATATCGTATGGCGGCTCTATACTATTTTCTGTAGGCATATCACTGCAATTATAAAAAAAAACAAATAAAAATATATAACACCAAAGAAATTTGGAGACATTAGAAACATAGTAATCACCAGTAAGTAGTAAACAAATGGCGCTTTACTAAATACACTTTTAACACAGTAGTATAGTTCTTTTCAAATATCGTTGCTTCCTTTGCATTCCACTATGCTTCAACATACCTAACATTGTGATCTGCGCAGTGACCTGCTCAATGTTAAGAGCTGCGAAGATATCTCAAAACTACTACAAGTCAGGGATTTTAGTTAGGTTAGTTTCTCCACATAGTTCTATAGATCAATGTTTAATTTTCTTACCTGTAATGATAGAGTAGAGGTCCCAGGTTAATCCAGTAACCTCCTGGCATCAAGATAGCGTATATCCTTTCAATAAACTCAATAACATTGGGTGCGCAATCTATAAAGAAGCAAGACGCCACGCAGTTCCACTCATTCGCTTCAGTATATACCTGTAGAAACAAATTAAATAAATTATGGGATCAACAATATAAAACTAGAAATTAAATATGAAAATGTCAACTGAATTTACGGAATGTTGGAGAAAATATTTATTTATTATCAAATATTTCTGTTCAATAAAATTATTGGACTTCTTAAAACGAATACCTTAAGAAAATCTCCTGCGGTCATTGAGAAATTATACTTAGGTCTGTCCGTAGATGGCTTGACATCAGGGAACGTAGCAGCACGAAGTTGATGGTCGCAGGTTAAATTGTTTACATATTGATGTAGCCATGGATAGACAGTATACATATTCACCTGTAAAGATATAAGAGACATTACATTTAGGTCGGTTATCATTTAACCATGTCAAGTCAATCAATCAGTCAGGTCAGTCAGTTAGTCAGTCTGTCTGTCCATTATTAAACAAACAAAACATGATGGTAACAAACTCACATCGGAACATCTGTTGAGTACAAAGTTACTTGCAAACAGCATGAACAATGAGAACTCATTTCCTTGGCATGTGTAGCCTCTATTGGCCACCTCCCATGCTAACCGGCCGAGCCCCGCTCCAGGAACCAACACCTTTATCCGTGATCTATCACTGAAATATACATCCTAATATGTTAACTACACATGTACAAAAATATTATATATTGTCGTCTTTATTATTCTCTTGGTAAAAACAGAGATAACAATATGTACAAGCAAAAGGGGTTTTACACCAGTTGCAATAATAGCAGCAAAATGACTCATAACAGCTATTTTATACATTTAAATTTGAAAGTTCCAGAACAAGATGAATAATTAATACACTTCATGAATGATTTATAATTTAGTGATTCATATCAACCCATCTGACGTAAGTTGAATTGATAGCATGTAGAGATTATGGTGAAATTATGGCAGTTAAAGGAACGGAAAGTTTTTCATTCATTATACTTTAAATATTACCTGAACTCCTCAAGTGGGTATCTGACTTCAAGTTCATTTAGTATAGGCCCATAGCATTGTTTACGTTCAGCTGCACCCATCTCACTCCAATCCCTCACTATATTTTTTAACACTGACTGTACCTAGGGAATAAAAAAAAAAATTGACCAACTAAACTTGATATAACACCAAGGTAGTGTACTAATAATAATTATATTTGGCTCAATGCTTACCTTTTCAACATCATGTTGCATTTTATGTTGTTTATGTGACGTTATCTCACAGTTATTATAATTGCAACCAAAACTCTCTGTACCATTTGTACCAGATATATTGGTATTACTGTGATCCACATTCTCAAACATTGTGTCCACATCTTTTATGATTAAATGAACAACATTATTGTTCACATCCAGGCATTTTCTAAACTTAGAGAGATAAGCCCGATACTTTTCCAAACGCCTTTGATGACTTTGAGGAAGCTTGGATATTATGTTCTCGGATTTATGGATCCTTTCAATGCCGCATAACCTTAAAATAATTACAAAAATGTTTATTTATTTACAAGTAATGTCAACAATACATTTAAGGGTTAGACTCTTGTAAAATGTCTAATGTCATGCACAATCTCACAATGTTCTTCACATTGTGACATTTTTTTTTATGCATGTCACCCCTAACTTAAGGTACCACTCTGTGGGAACATATAGTGAGCCAATGATAATGATGAAGTCTGGCTAGGCTATGAATATAATTTACTAATAATGTAGACCAATTAGACAAATGATATGGCATGTTTTAATTTGTTGATTATTGTACAAATAGAATAATATTTTTCAGTTTTAATTTGTTATTTTATTTAATGATAAGTATTTAAGGGTTTCAAAATTTTGTATTACAATATTAAAATATTAATGATATATGATACACATTATCAGTTGAAACATACTGATTACTGATAGATAAAAAAGAGATATTGTTGTTGCTACCCAGTCTCAAAGTTCAATATTCAAAATGAAAGTATGTAATATTTTTGATACTTTACAAAAACATTCAAAAGTTTAAAGTCTGTTTTATATAGAATATTTTAGTCTACCTCTCCTATTGATAGGGATGTCAATAATAACATATTGATTATTCACTAAGGAATATTTTTTTTTTAAAACTGGTCATGAACTTTCTTTGTTCATTAAGGTAAACAGATTATCTTGTAGAATATCATCATCAAAGCAAAACGGACCAAAATTCCAAGGACATTAGGGTCATAGTTCCGCGCTTACACCGGACATAAACAAAACTGATTGTTGTATCTAAATAGGTTAATTGCATAGACCAAATCCAACTTAACAAAGAATAGTTGCTAAGGAATATTTTCTTTGTCACGACACAAAAACTTCTAGAACTGAATTAAAGGTAGTTTGTAGTTTTAGTTTGTTAGTAACGCTTCGGATACATAAGTACATAAATAGAACAGATACTTACTTATAATATTTAAAAGCGGTGACCACGGCTTTGAAATGCTCACGCTCTTTAGCTTCATCAATTTCATCGTTTGCCGACAGAGAAGACATATTTATGATATTATTCTTATCTAAAACTACTAACTAGCATATACTTCACCAGCCAATTCAACAACGAGCAGAAAACGGGAAAATTAATTATATTTGCCGAAATGGTTTGACAGTCCGCTTTTCAGTTCCATCTTTTTGATGACTTGACAGTTGACAGTTGTCATTATCAGTTGTCTAAGGTTGCCTTTTTCATTGATTTCATATTTTTGGGTACTAGGACTAACTTAAATAACACAATTTATATCTTGTCTTTAAAGTTCACTTACTTACCTAACTAACGATGACTAAAAATTGGCTTGAGTGAGATACATTTTAGCATTTTAATATAAAGGAGGAAGACTATTTATACAATTGTGTTTTTCGGGAAAAAGGGTGTGTGTATGTGGCAGTGGCAACATTTCAACACAGTAAATATGTCGGTCGGTGATGAAATGTGTTTGTCAACATTCTATCGATCTCTTTTTTAAAATAAATGTTTCATTTATAAATTTCCCAACTTAGAAGCCTTATTGAAACATTGTACTTTGCTTCCCGTTATTTGTCTTGTTACTGAAAACTAAGTGTACATATAAAATAAAATATTAAAAATTTTCAGAAAATAAAATTGTTATAAAATATTAATTCTAAGCCGGTTACGCTTCAAGTTGTTGTGGAAATATGAATTGAGTGTTAAATATTGGTCATATATTTTGCAAAAATAAAAGCCTCATCCGTATGTTTGGTCGTGCTACGAAAAATCAATAAATCCTGCAGTGCGTTGCTTAGTTGCAATTACGTACCTATGCATTAGCCTAAATTCATTATAAAATGAATGCTATGCACTATGTTTGAAGGTCTACAAAGAAAATGATGGAAGGAATGTTGACCCAAAGAGTAACACCGCTTTTAAAATGCGTTGTTTTATTTTTGTTCATTTTCACTGCGAAAGTATTAACTTCACGACCTCAAGAATCTCACGACACCAAAAACAACATACATCATTTAAAACCTTCACACTATGTGAGGACTTTCACCAAGTACCATCACAGAAGAAGTATACAGTGGAACAATATGCAAGATTTAGCTGACTACTGGCCAATGCAAGACCAGCCCAAGGTCATAGGTAAAAGAAGTGTAGATACAATCAGTGCAAATGACTTTGTGAGTGGCACTGATCAGGATTTAAATCAGCTTGTATCAGAGTCTGTGAGGAGTAACATTGTGGGTTCATTTGAGAAGAATACTGTCAATTCAAATAAGGAAGATGTAGGTCATAACACTGTATCTAGCCAAGTGAAACAGTACAAAGTGAAGGCAGCTATGATTGTGACTGATGCTCCAACTACTAAAGGGCCAACAATATCTTGCCTTTATAAGATTCATAATGTAGCTATCAGTGTAACACCTTCCTATGATGAGGAGAAGAACGCTCAATTAGTTGTTGAAAATGAAATATTTGGTAAGTGTTAACCAACCTCATTTGTAACTTGTCTTTAATTATCTACTTTTCTAGGCTACAGGTATGAGTTATCTGGTTCTCAATCTTCAAATATTATAAGTGCGAATGTTTGAATGGATGGATGTTTGTTTGAAAGTATCAGGTATAATAGATTGTGATGAAATTTGGCATAGATGTAGAACATAGATTGGGAGAAGACATAGCCTACTAAATAAGGTTTATTTAACTTCCGGGAGGACAGTGTATGATTGTAAGAAATAATATTTGACTGTCAGATACGCCTGGCACCCTGTCAGAGACAACACTGCCAAGTGGTGAAGTGGCCCAGGTGGAGCATTGCACAGACCCTCGAGCCTTCTGCTATACTCTCTGGCATCAAGATAAGGATGGCAACATTACAGTTATGGGTCAAGGTTTGTAACCATTTATTAATAATTATTTTGAAAAAAAAACAAATGAACCTAGGATCAAAAGTCAAGTGCTTAACCATTGAGCCACCGATGTTGATCATTAACATTGATTAATTTTGACAGGTTGTTGGCGTTCTTCACAAACAGAGGGCTGTGACAAATGTACTAGAGTCACAGCCCGTCTGCCGGGCAGCAAATTCTGTTGTTGTACTAAAAGCTATTGTAATGCTGATTTCCGTAAGTTTTTTTTCGAATACTTATGGCTTTCTGTAATATTATCTTTTTTTCTGTTAAATTAAAGCACCAAATGAATAGACTATACATATTTTTTAAAAACAAATATAGTTAAAAAAATGTTTTTATGCTTAATATATTTTTCATTTACTTTATTTATTGTCGTAATTGTAAATCTTATCTGTATATTTGCAAACAGTTTCCCTAAAAGAAGAAATGGTAACAGTAAAAGCAGAGTCCACAATGAGCAGTTCCTCGCAACAACCAAAGTATCCAAGTATCATAGCTTCGGGCATCTTAGCTCTTGTTTCGGTGCTGGTAATAGCAATAATGTGTAGGAACATATACTGCAGAAAGACCCTGGTGAAGGATGATTTGAGTGATGCTACAGATGTGGAAAAAGGTAAATGAGTGTGGTCTAGTATTTTTTTTTCCTATTATAAGGTAGCAAATGAGGAAGGGGCCGCTGCCCATAGACATCCGCAATTGCAGATGCATTGCCAACATTTAATCTGTCCCCTTCCTATGCATTTCCTCTTTGGTCTAATCCATTTCTCTCTCTCCCTCTGATCCTTTCCTTTTAAACGGAGAGTGATTAGGGAAAGGAGTGTGCATTTCTTAAAATATTATTTCAAATAGATTAAGTTTACTTTTGCATAGTGACATTTGGTTTTGTATATAAGTAAGACAGTATATCTGTATATGTTTACTCTGTGTCTCCAGGTGATGTCATGGGAAGTGGACCTGATGCGTTAGCAACGGGCTTGCTTTGTGTGGATAACCTTAATCTTATTGAGCATATAGGTGAGAGATAAATAACTTTTTTGTGTCAATTTTTATGTTTAACTTGAGTGTGATTTGATAAGTTTTTCATGTATGTATATTAATTCTATTGTCATCTGTTATCTAAATGACTAACCATGGGTTTTTGAGACCAAAATGTGTATATGAAACATATCGCCATTCCAAAGATAATCTTTTACCGCCTAGTAATATGTTTTAAATTGAGATTTTGGACTCGGAAACTCATGGTAAACTGACTTACATGAGTTAGGTGTTATTTGATTTGCCACTAGTTTTTTTGAGTTATGAAATATATGTTTGTAGGTCAGGGTAAGTTCGGTTCTGTGTGGCGAGGAACATTAGGCTCCACACCAGTGGCAGTCAAACTATACAGCAATGCGTCTGCCTGGCAAAAGGAGGCTACAATATACGGCCTGCCGCATCTTGCACATCCTAATCTACTGAGATACTATGGTAAGTTTAAAAAAACTAATATTTCATTATCGAATTTTCAATTTCTTTTCTTTTAAGGTACATTGACGTAAGAAAACTGATGGGTTACAGATTGGGGAATAATTTTTGTCGAATCATAGAGTGGATTTTAAAAGAACGGTAAAACTTGCTGTCGCCTGCTACTCCGTCTGCGTGGAATTAAAAAAATCTTAATATTAACCATAACCAATGTATTATCCCAAACTTTGTTCTATATCTATGCTAAATTTTAACGAGATCCGATTAACTGTTCTGGAGATATCTAATAATAATCATCCATCCATCTATACATCGCATTTATAATATTAGTAAGAAAGTAAGAATAAGATTTGATTTAAATAGAAGACGATAAAAAAGTAGACATTTTCACACTACCGCTTTAGTTTTAAAAGGTTGTTGTCTTCTCCGCTTTGTTCATAAAAAAAAGTATTTAAAAATATTCACAAGGAATTAAAAAATATCAATATGAAGAAATCTAGTATGTAAAACCTACGTTTATAGGCAGTGAGACGAGGTCGACAATGACAGAGGGAATGGGTCGGGAACATCTGGTTGTACTAGAGTTGTGTTCGAGCACACTACGCGCACGGCTCGAGCGAGCGCCGCTCACTTGGTTGGAGTTTGCGACTCTAGCGCACGGCCTTGCCGCCGCACTCGCGCATCTACATACTGCCAGTAAGAAAATTTCTTTATGTATTCGCCTGTACCCGTTTTTCTTAATACTAACTTCGCAATTACTATTCCTAAACGTTTTAATACATTGTCTATTATAGAGATATAGCTATTCGAAGGTTACATTGTCTATGGGTCCATGGCTAGACAAAGTACATTCGCTCCGAAGCGATTTCATAAAGAACTTCAAAAATGTATAGAACTGACGTTAAGTTTCGATAAGTCACGTGATTGTCGCGTGTTAGTTCCATACATTTTAAAAATCGTTATGGAATCTCTTCAGTGCTAATGTCTTTTGTCTAGCCCCGCTAATATACAGAGTATTCTGATATATTATCTATATTACTATAGCCTTTTAAGGTCAGAACGATAATTTATTTGTCTCTATACAAAGTCTAATGTGGACAATATAGAGTTTATTGTGTACAGGTGGTAACAAGCCGTGTGTGGTACATCGCGATGTGAACAGCAATAATGTGTTGGTATCTGGGGATGGACGCGCACGTCTTGCCGACCTCGGTCTCGCGCAACCCCTGCCGCCGCGACGCGATCGCGCTCCGCCCACAACCATCACTGAGGTACGCCCACTTTTCTCTTAGACCGCGCCCACATAACACAACATACGTCTCCGTTCAATTTTTTTTTAAAACAGTGCCTGTGTACATATTTTATGCTAAATTATGACAAAGGACGCGTCTAAGTGGTTCTTGAATTACTAACCACCACGAAGAGTCGTTAATTCAGTGTTAAGGTTGATTTTATAAGGGAAATTTTTAAATAATTTACTGCATTCTGTTTATGAATATTGCAATATAATGCCCCATACTGTACTCCTAATACGTTAACGTAATGCAGATTAAAAAAAAAACTCAAATATTTTTACTAAACTTTAATTATAACAACAGGCTGGAACTCTTCGTTACTTATCGCCCGAGGCATTAGAAGGCGCTTTAGATCTGAGCGGTGCGCGCGCGGCGCTGTGCGCAGTGGATGTGTTTGCGCTATCGTTAGTGCTGTGGGAGATGCTGTGGCGATGCGCAGGCGCACACCACGCGCGCGCTCCGCCCTACGCCCCGCCCTATCATCACCTCGGCCTGCCCCCTCAGCCTACGCTTGCACAGATGCA